ACACTTTATTGGTATGCGATAGATGGATAGATGAGAGGAGCCTGCTGAGAGAGAGCTAAGAAGTAAGATGCAATCAGTCACGGATGGTGGAGGAGATGCTTAGGTCGTTAGATCGGTGAAGAGCAGTTCAGATATATGCGAGGAAAACGTTAGAGAGAAGGGAACAAGAAGAAAGGCGACAGGAAGGGAAGCAGGGTGCCCAAAAGCAAACAAGTAGATAAGGCAGAATCATAAGGGCCGAGATTGAACATGAACAGGGAGAAAAAGAGGAAGAGAAGAATTCAGTCGTAGTGAAAAAGTGCTAGAATGTGTGAGAATTGTGCGTGAATGAGAGATCGGATGAATGCCGTGCCGATGTGCGTCCCAATCAGGGCGATCCTGCCGGTAATTCATCGCTGAGGATGGTGTTTTTTTAGCAGGTAGGTCGCTGGCATTGACTGCGATGGTAACCGAATAACCCCTGCGCGCGGTCTCGGCATCATCGTGGTAACGCTGGAATCCTGCATAATCGAGGCTGGAAGGCGGTTCTGCCCACCTTCTAGGACCGAGGTATGTTTCGAACATTTGATCATCCGCTCTCATAAAAGACGAAAAAACAAAAATTTTGATTGAATTATTGTATTCAGTATTGTATGTAGAGGTTTTAAGAACAGTTAATTGGTTAATTTGGCGAAATTTTATGTTTTTCTTGTTATTACTGATATTCTAACAATAAATTAGTTAAATCCAATTTATCATCCAATCCAAGTTATTACATAAGAAAATAGAGTGTCGTGTAGAGAAAAAAATTACCTTTCAAATGATGTGCCACTCGAATACACTTGCTATTTAAAAAAAAACTGGGGTTGATGAGGGACAGCATGGGGTTAAATAAATACGTTTAATTTTTAAGAGGTGTACACTTTAATAAATTGATACTTTTTCACAAAAAACGAATTCTCCAGCGAAATATCTGTCTAATGGCGTGCCACATATGGCTATTCCCTATTGAAAATTAAGGATTTGTGGTACTGGAAAGCAGAGGGTTGACCAATAACAGATATCCATGCCATTAAAAGATGAACCTTTTATTATATTGCCAAATATCAGGTAGACTCTTTTGAGTGGCCAATCCTGTGAATTATATTTTTTAGAAAGTGCATGGAGCGACGTGATGTATTAAAAAATAGGGATTATTAGATTATTTGGCACAGTCTCTGTATCAAATATTTTATAGAATCCGTAGGTAAAATATTACGCAGTATTTATGAATCATACTGGATGCCATCCATAAATAAAATCAGCACATACAACACACTATAAATGGTATTGGTATATTTCTCTCCCAGAAAACTTTTACTTACTTTTACTTAACTGTGTTACAATAATTTTTGTGTAAATATGAGTAAACTTATAAATTGTATCCAAGCGTTGTTTTTATACCAGTACCAAAATTGTACAAGAATTCATGAGATACTGCCTCAATGAGTACAAATAACGATATCATAATAACACATCTTCTAACATAACTATATTATTTGCGCTATAATTTCTATCGTCTTTAACGACCATGAATCCTTATACAATTTTTTATGTAGATTTAAATAAACTCAGATGCACAAACAAAAATAAACTTCAATTTAAAGCTAACTAAAAAGTCGATATTTCCATTTTAGGAGTTTTCGGGGAAAGCCCGGAGTAACAAACTTTTTTTAATATTTTTTGGAGTCCCAAAATTGACATTCCCAGCTAAATTCATCTTATTCGTATTATTTATAGAGGTAGTTGTCCTCTAACGACTGGACTGTCTGAACTGACTGAACTAAGGGAATGTTTGAATTTATTATTTGTTTATTGAGCAAAAATACTGAAATCTCTGCGATTTGTATGATATTTTTTTCATATTACTTGTGTTTGTGCATTTAATTATTAATTTTCTCAAATAATTGTTTGGTATTATTATAAAAAGATTGCATGTAAACCACAAAGATAATATTGCAATACATCTTAACATTTTTGGAATTACTAAAGAGCAAAAAAAGAACGTCAATTTAATGATTATTCCAATTTTTTTACAAATACAGAATGAGGGCAAGTTAATTTTGCATAAAAATAATTAAAGAAGAGATACTGAAAGAAATGCATACGGAGAGAATTACCGTCTAAAATATTGGATGGATTTATGACGCCGTCTTTCGCTATCATGTTTGCTAAATTTACTTAAAAAAATTCAATATCCCAAAACCTGACTGGAAATGAAATTTGACTCCTCTAATTACCTACAATTCTAAATGGAACTTGTAATAAAAAATTAGTTCCCATAACTATGTATTAAAACAACAAATTACAAAAGATTGTTATGAGGTCCATTTCCTGATGTCTTGAAAACAATGACAGAGGCCCATGTTTTTCAAATGCCCCATTTGTAACAGATTTGCCCACATCAAGCAAGTAGATATGGAGCTAAATGAGAAATTCTCTCTTCCAAAAGGGCCCTCTCTCCTAGGTTGGTTGCTCAATTGCAAACTAATCTCTGTCTTTATTTGTTAGTATTAGCTATAAAATTTAGTCCTGACCATTGTCGGATGTTTCTTAGCCACGATAGTCATTTTCTTCCTAGTTCTTGTTCCCTAGATCTTTCCTTTCACTATTAATTGAGTATATTGGTACTTCTCAGTATGTAGCCTAGGTATATGTTTTCCTAACTTTCACTGTGTTGGAAAATTTTTGTTCCTTGCCTATACTATGCAGCACTTCGTTTGAGGTATGTGATGTCCATGAAATCTCGACTATCCTTCGGTAGATCCATATTTCAAAGGTCTCCAATTTATTTACGGTTGATGTTTTAAGGATCCACGTTTCAACTACAAGAAACTGAGCAGACCAAACATTAGGATAAACGTAAATGAGTTTCGATTTTTAATCGAAAATATCATCGAGAACAACTTTTGATTTTTTAGAAAGATTTTAGAAAGACAAGGGTATATTCTTTCTCCATACTTTGTTAACTTGTACTCTGGGGTGATCATGCAAGAGGCTCTGGAAAAAGAGGGTGCGGGAATTACAGTTAAGGGAATCCCTATTAACAAACTGAGGAATGCAAACAATATTGTGTTATTAGTGGAGAATATTGAAGATCTTTAAAAGAATAGTCCAAAAAGTATATATGGCTTGTCTTATATAGACCAAATAATAATGCCCAAATGATAAATATAAAAAATATTGATGATATAGACCAAAGACAAACTCAAGCTGATAAAATCAAATAATCCAACACAATAACAAAATCCTCCTTAAATGTCAAGAGAAAAAACTTTTGGATAGAAAAGGATTTAAAGTTTTATGTCATCGTCATTATACTGCCCTTGACACATGTAATTAGGTATATTGTTTTTTCCTTGAAATGAACTTGAATTTTTAGATTTTATATTTTGTCATGATAATCTGAATCATGAGAAAAACTTGCAATATACACTTTGTGTTCTTTCATTGAATATAAGGAAACATTTTGGTAATAAACCAATTTCTTATAAAAAGGGGATACAATTTTTAAAAAGCTACAAAATTTATACAAAAATTAAACAAACTGTATATAAATAGTTAAAAAAAATAAGTTAATAAGTTAATAAAAAAAATATAAATCTTATGGGATCAAAGCATAACCTACAAGATAGTGCAACGCCAAGTAGTTTTTTTTCAGTTACGTACATACAAGCAAAGAACTAATTCCAAAATTTTGTAGCTTCATTTTTTATTAAAGAATATATAAAATCAAATACTTCCTAAGTTAGTAACATTACAAAAACTAAGGTTACCTTTTAAGACAATTTAAGATAAATACATATTTGATCAATTTAATTCGTAATAAAAATTGTAAAAAATATATTTTTAATTATAAATGCCAACAAAATTAATTGATTGCTATCTTTGTAGCCAATGCTTTGCGAGGTGTTGGTATTAATTAACTGTCTTAATGGTTGTATTTACAATTAATATTATTTAAATCAATATTTTAAATTTATTTTCAATGTTTATATATTTTATCAATTTAGCATTGAGTTCTTTGTTTCAGTTATAAATAATTCGCTCAAATAATAATAAGTTTAATAGCTACACAAAAATATCAGAAGTATCTAAATGAAAGATTACTGAACAAAAGCTGCATCATGGTACTGACACTGGTATGGCTACATATATGTTCTAGATCATCAACGAATAAAAGCATATTAAGCAAACTTAAATATTATTCTTACATGGGGTTAAGCCACAATTATTCGTTGTAATGAAAATCACATTAATAACTAACTAGTGTTTGACTCTTCAACTTCCACTCCAAAAATGGTTACCAAAAAAGATTATTATAAAAAATTCTGGGAAAACGTATACGATTTTTTATAGTAATCTTTTTTTAATATTGTTCTGAAGCTATTTTCTTGTGGCATTGTAAATTAATTACTATTTATAACTGGGAATAAGCCACAATTAAAGATAAAAATACGTTTATTGACGTTTCAATTTCCAATTCGGAAATCGTTCTCTAAAATAATAAACATATTTTTATCTTTAATTGTGGCTTATTCCCAGTTATAAATAGTAATTAATCTTTTTTTAGAATAATTTCCAAAGTGGAAGTTGAAACGTCAAATACTAGTTAGTTAATTAGACATGCCGGAAGAAAGTAGTTTCAGAAGATAATAAGGCATAGTGTGGATGACTTTGTAGAATTCCTCTAAACATTTTGGTTATAGTTTAATTTCACATAGAACATATTTGAGGGCTTATAATTTTTCAGCTAGATTCAGCTCAAATGTAAGGTTTATACTGCAGTTACATTGATTATTATTTTTAATTTTTTATTTATTTTTGTTGCATGGATTACTGAATGTAATGGACTTAATTTTAAAAGAAATATATATCATCTGATATATCATTTGTATCTACAAAAATTGTCAAAAAGTAACCATAGTCATATAACTAACCACCAGCACCTACTTTATTAGTAAGCTGTACATAGTTGTTACCTTTCTATCTCTAAATCCTATTTTTTCCCTTCTGTGTTTTTTCCTCTTACTATCATCCTCAGCAGAATCTTCCAATTCTTCCCTTGGTATATGAATTCCTTCTCTAATGTTCTCACTTTCTGCTTTAACTGATAATAACTTTTTCAACCTTAAAACAGACAAAATACCTTAATTTTCTTTAATAAATATAAAACAATTGATTATTAAATAATAAAACATAATACTTAAAATGTGTTTTTGATATGGATTTAGGTCAAAATAAAGAATACAGACATCTTAGGAGCTGAGAAATTGATCACAAGTTGATACATGTAATATATTTGTTTTATTTTGTTATAGAAGCCATCTGTTATATCACAGTGACATTGCAGTCATTGCAGATAGTACAAGATCCTACTACAGGACCACGACATTCATAACATACATAGTTAATCAAACTCACATTTATACATACATTTAAAACTAGAAGAATAAATTGATAATAGGTTGCCAGTCAAAAAGTTTCCGCAAATATTTTTAATTCAATTACAGTGGAACCTCGATTATCTGTCTCTATTAACTGTCACCTCTCAATTCATTTTGTTTAAGCATTTGTGATAAGCCAAATTAAATTCATTGAAATGTATACATGAAGTTATGGGACCACTGCATTTTTTATGTAAATAATTATTCTACTTATTCAGGGCTCTGGATTAAATTTCAATTTAAATAGGTAATGATAAATGATACAGTGCTTTTAGAGTTTCATTTTTAGAATCGCAAAAATTTATCATTTATCGCATTATTCGCATTGAGCAAAAAGTATGATGTTCCTAGAACAACAATCAATGATTTAAAGAAAAATGCTGAAGGAATTGAAAAGTATGCTTCGAAAATGGAATCCTTAGATGGCCGGATGAAACAGTTAAACAATTAAAAAAAGCCACAAATTAATCACTCAACACGACACGATACGACACTCTGTATTTGTGGTTCATTAAAAAAAGAAGTGAAGGTGTTCCTTTGTCTGGTCCAATTGTTGCCAAAAAAGTGTTGTTTTTCAACATGAAATTGAATAGCGAACCTTCATTCAAAGGAAGCAATCGCCACAGTGTACGGAAACTTGAAATCAAAGGTGAAAAATTGAGTGCCGCAATATTGAAGTCGTTGACGAGTATAAAAGAAAGTTTCAAGATATGATCGATGAATATGGTTTGACACAATATCAAGTGTTCAATGCGGATGAAACTGGTTTAAACTACAAAGCATTGCCAACAAAAACACTGGGTGCACTGTCTCAAAAATATAAACCAGGATTTAAAATGCAAAGGCAACAATCACAACAATGATATGTTCAAATGCTAGTGGTGACCATCGCTTTCCTATATTACTGACTGGTACAGCAAAAAAAAGGACGATGTTTCAAGGGCATAAATATGAACACGCTTTTCATTAACTACTATGCACAACGTAATGCATGGATGTCCTAGGAAATATTCGCTTACTGGTTCAAAAAGGTATGTACTGCAAACCAAAATTTGTTTATCTATTTTTCTAACGGCTTGTTTTTTAAGTTTTTATACCGGGTGTTCGACAATACTTGCAAGAAAAAATTTGCCAAAAAAGGCGATTCTCATTTTGGATAATGCACCTGCTCATCCTGAAGCCGGTATGCCGCGAAGTGACGATGAAAATATCACGTGCCCTTTTCTGCCTGAGAATACAACATCATTGATACAGCCAATGGATCATTAAATACAATTTAAAACAACACAGTCGACAATGCTGTGGATGATTGGGCTGCGTTTCGGAAGCAACACTGAAAAGAGCGTAGAATAAATTATGGCCTGAATCAACTCAAGATGAAAATGCTCCCAGGATAGCCGAGCGTGATGCGGTAACAAATAACAAAGTTATGGCTGAATCAACTGTTTTGTTTTCGTTGCCTAAAGATACCATAAACAAATAGTTAATTTGTGCTGAAGATGCAAACAGCTATCGCTTGCTGACAGATGATAAAATCATTGAAATGGCAACAGAGGCGGACAAAACTGATTCAGAATCTGACAGAGATTTTGATGGTGGCGTCTGTTCATGATGCTATCGCAACTCACAAAAATTTGCGTAAAGAAGCTAGAGAAGCTGCATCGCACATACAACAATTCATCAAGTGGTATTCTCGGCAAGAAGAAGCAAGTAATGTGAGAGTTATACTATGAATTTTTTTTAATGTTCTGTTAACCGTCTTTTCACAATCCGTCATACCCTTGGTACAGTGCCCTGATGGATAATCGAGGTTCCACTGTAATAGGAATTAATTTTTGACAAAAACTTTGTTTCCTTCATTTATTTTTTAAATAAAATAAGCTGCTCATAACGTATGTATGTTTTTTATATTAAATTAAGCTATTTTTTTATAATATGATGAAATATCGTTGCCTGAGAAAAAATGGTTGCAAATTAGGGATGCCAGCTGTTAAAAATACAAGGTATCAAAGATAATATAAAATAGAGTTACTGCGCAATGACACTAGTTTGTCAAATGCTAATATGTATATTATTATATATCTGTTGACTCACGCTTTAAAAACCTACACAACTGACACTTCAAACCAGTGGCATTGAACATTAGCTGTCTTTTATTTTATCTTAAATACCTCGTATTTTTAACAGCTGAAAACTCTAATCTTCAACCATTTTTTCTCAGGCAAACTTATATCATCATATTAAGAAAAAAATAAGCTTTAATATGATATATAAAATCATGCATATATGTCATAAGCAGCGTATTTTATTAAAAAAATTAATGAACGAAATAAAATTTTGCCATTTTTTGACTGGCAACATATTATCAATTTATCCTCCTAACTTTAAATGTATGTTCAAATGCGAGTTTGATTAACTACATTATGAACATAATGATCCTGCAGTGGGATCTTAGGCTAAGATATTTTTGGCTTATTTCTTATTAGTAACTAGGTTGACATTATGTTAAAGGTACCTTTTGGTATTATGATTATTTCATCTGAATAGCTTTTAACAATTTAATATAAAACAATAGGCCTATTTTGTGTAAAATGTATCTAGGTCATTTATTATTTCCAATAAACTTAAATATGGAGAATACTTACCAGACCCAATCTATCATAGGCAGTAAAAACATTGTAAATAAGAATGTGTAATAAATTTTGGTTATTGTAGGTTCTTTTTCACGTTTATGGCCAAAATCTTTATAATATCGTTTCTGGTCGTACTTAAAATCTCGTTTATGTAATATAGCAATTGCATTAGGAGCATTACGATATGTTTGCATATACGACCGGTATCCAGCAGAACCAAAGCGAGCCAGTAATTTTAGATAGCTCATAATTTATGATTTTTTTGAAAACTTAAAAATAGAAAGAGCACTTATCAGTTGCGGAAATTGGTGACAACTATTTTAGCATATTAACAAATTATAGTGTTAACTGTAGCAATTATTGTATTCTCCAATATTGTACAAACCGTTTCATTTTAATATTAACTTAAGTTTCAAGATTCAAATGGAATCTACAATTAAAATTGTCACAAATGTCGTCAATGTCAAACAAATGTCAAATAATGACAAAACTAGCAAATATTGAAGTTGTCATTACACTTCTTCACTTTCAGTTCTTGTTGAAAAACAATTTTTTCTAATAACGTTAACTACTTAGATTAAATAAAATTACCTTGGGAAATATTTCAAACACTCTTTATATAGTTTGTGGAGGTTGTGTTATATCATAATTATATTAAGTTTTACGAAATAATTTTGTTTTTTTGATTCGCAATTTATATGGACCTCTACATTATTTTATACAGTTACAATTTTCTACCAAACAGCTGAGAATGACGTGGTTTTGATGTAAAAACCTGCAATACGTGTACCGGTGTAAATCCTGCTCCTTGCACGTGAAATACAAAAGTTTTGTGTTTTGATGATTTGAACATTGTAACATCAAATCTTAATTTTTTTTTAAATAATAACGGTTACTAAACATTGATAAGGCAAAACAGGTTATTTAAATATTTGTTTGTTATTAATTTTAGGTATATAAACAATGAAGAAATACTTAGGGTAAGTTTTTGGTTTTATAGATGTATTTGTATTATTTTATATAACATTTTTTTAATTTACAGGTTTTGATATTTTTAAATAAAGGAGCGGATAAACAATTTTATGTATATTAATCTTTACTATTACTTAACTTACGAACAATCTAGTGATTACATCGTTTTTAAACGAGTGTAGGCGGTAGAAAGTAGTATAATTTTATTATTTGTAAAACTTGGCAAAGCAAATTTTAACTTTAAAAATATTCAGTACGAGTTCATATTACAGACATGTTTACAAATATGATTTCAGCCCTATAAAAGCTCATTATAAAAGTCATTAAATAATTTAAATCCATAGTTTAAACAAGTGACAATTTTATTCATATTATATTAAAAGTATCTAAACTTTATTTGACCTATTCCCTATTCTTAATTATTAGCATAATTAATTTGAATAAGTTTCCAAACAAATTAATATTATGATTTTTAAACTTAGATAGGTAGGTAGATAGGTTCTAGATGGTTTTTGATATATAGTGGTAGATTGATTTCTATTAAATTAAGTAAAATGGATTAAAATTGAATGGATGAAGTAGTAACAAAACTAGTTTGATAAAATAAGCAAACCTTACTTAACTGCAAATTGAACTGAAATCTTATTTTACAAAATTTACCAGAAATATCATATTACATGCAAATTGCATGTTAAAATTTCAATATTCAATATTAAATTAGATAAACATATGCACACAACACAATATGTAAACTTCATTATAATAGACCTATTCCCTATTATTAATTATTAGCATAATTAATTTGAATAAGTTTCCAAACAAATTAATATTATGATTTTTAAACTTAGATAGGTAGGTAGATAGGTTCTAGATGGTTTTTGATATATAGTGGTAGATTGATTTCTATTAAATTAAGTAAAATGGATTAAAATTGAATGGATGAAGTAGTAACAAAACTAGTTTGATAAAATAAGCAAACCTTACTTAACTGCAAATTGAACTGAAATCTTAAGGTAAAGTCACCTAATACCGACCCATACAAAAATAACACCTATTACCGATCCAAATGATTAATACGAAATATTAAGCTTTGTGGATGAAAGGAACGTTGTATTGTCACAATTTCAGTCTACTCGCTAAAATCACGTGAATAATTTATTAGTGTCTAGAACGAAAGTACCCGAATTGATGCCATTCGAATTAGTTTATGGTCAGATTTCGTAGAGTGTAGGTTATGTGCGCTTGTGATTCATTAAAGGGGTAAGTACACAAATAAAGAAATTAAGCATAAAATTCAAGTAGATATTTTTATATATTTGTTTTATAAGTTTGAAGACATTTCTATACATGTTGTCTATACTATAATGTAGTAATTTTTCGAAGATTTGCAGTATTTAATGAAAAAATCTTAAAAATATATTGAGTCGGTAATAGGTATAGATATTTCTAATACCGACCCAAGGTCGGTATTAGGTTTGAAAACCTTTATTTTATTAATCTATTATTTTGCTTTGCCATGTAGTTGCACCGTGATTGTTCATTTCTTAAGTACATATACTATTAAGTCGACGTTTTTTTCGATTTTCGACCCATGATTTATGTTATGAGTAACCTAATATTCTAAAAATTTCTTTGTCTGGAGCGACAAACATGTTAATATTTTAATAAGTCCAAACCCCTGGATAATGTAGTTAATATAGATATTACTTTTGGTATATTTAATTATGGTAATTGTAAAAATCTTTAATTAACAAGAAGAAGGCGTTTCAGTCATTTGTCTCAAGTTTTACACAGTCGGTATTAGGATAAGTGCGACCATATTGAAATCAATTTACCGACCTATTGGGTCAATAATAGCAAATGCCATTAGCCTAATACCGACGCATTAAAAAAGGTGTTCGTTATTAAGTCAGACATTGCACTCATTAAAACCGTCTGATATTTTTAATTAATTATATATTTCTTTTCAGGCTTTATGGCACCAAAAATACGTGTACAATATTCAAAAGAAAAATTGTCTAGCGCCTTGGAAGCAATCAAAAATGGGATGTCAGTTTACGAGGCATCTAAAAGATTAGGATTGCCAAAGACCACTTTACGGGATAAACGTTCAGGAAGATTTAAAAATCCCAAGTGTGGAGTGCAACCTGTGCTTGCTGCCAATGAAGAAAAGTGTGTTGTGTATTGGATTCTTTCTTTGGCGCAACACGGGTTCCCTGTCACAAAATCCCAATTAATACACACAGTAGCTAATTTAATTGAAAACTTGGACCGACAAAATCCATTTAAAGATGGTATTCCGGGAAATCACTGGTTTCAAAAATTCATGGAAAGACATCCTGAAGTTAGTACAAGAGTGTCCCAAAATCTTACCGCAAGTAGGAGTAATTTCAGTGAGCAAAGTATTAGAGAGTGGTTCAGAAAGGTTGGGAATTATTTCACGAGCAACAATCTTATGAATATTTTTGAGGATGGATCCCGAATATTTAACTGCGATGAGACAGCTTTCTTTTTATGTCCCAAGGAGAAGCAAGTCTTAGCAAGAAGAGAAACAAATCTGGTGTATAATAGAATAGCTAATGATGAAAAAGAGTGTTTTACAGTATTGGCTAATGTATCAACAAATGGTTCACTTGCTCCACCAATGATATTATTCCCATATAAAAGACTTCCGAAGCATATTTCAAAAACTGTACCACAAGGTTGAGGTTTAGGGTATACAGAAAGCGGCTGGATGAGTATGGAAGCTTTTTATGAATATATTGCGAATTGTTTTTATCCATTGCTCGAAAAACATAGAGTGCAGCTTCCGATTGTCTAGCGCTAAGTGAATTTTGCAAGGGGAAAGGTATAATATTAGTGGCATTATTGCCAAATTCGACCCACGTTCTGCATCCTCTAGACGTAGCTGTATTTAGACCGGTGAAAGCAACATGGCGAAACGTGGTACATGATTTCAGGCTTAGTCATGAAATGGCCAAAATTAAACGAACAGACTTCTCAGGTTTAGTTAAGATTTGTTTCGACAAATGTTTAAAAGAAGATACAATAAAAAATGGATTTAAATGTTTTGGACTCTTTTCATTTAATTCATCAAAGGGTCAATACAACAAACTTTTCAAGACCAAAACCAAAATAGCAGAACATTCAGCAGGGACTTTCGAAATTTCTAACAAAAATCAAAATAATCAAGAAACTCAAGAATATAAACAATTCAAACAGCAATTCGAAAATCGTTTGGGCCCTGAAACACTTTGTTCTTTCAAATCATCTGGCAGCTCTTGGCAAGGAGACTCTACTTTCGAAAAATTATTTGTGTATTGGAAATCTCTAGATGATAAAAATTTAGATGCAGACCTGGATAACAGAAATGAAGACTTACAAATTACTCTAAATGACACAACATTCATCAATAATATTTCCAGTATTGCGCACTTTAATGAAGATAACTGGGATGTTCTTAACTTCGAAGTCCAGGAAAATGGGAATCTCGCTATGTGTAGGTTCAATTCCTCCACTAGTGATGATTCACAGGAACTAGTCTCAGACAAAACGAATAAGATTGTTATGGAAATTCACCCTGTTGTTAACACTAAGAATTTAGAACATGGTGATAATTTTGATGTGAATGAATGTAAAGATTACGATAGTATAGCAAAAACGCCTCAAAAGCTTGTTACACGCTCTGAGACTAACTTTGAAACGACAGATTTAAAACTGGTGCTAGAAAGTCCCCAGAGAACACAAAATGACATTTTTGAACAACTAAGCAAAGGAGATACTGAACAATTACCTTCAAATACACACGTATCTGCTCTACAGCACACGGAAAACCAACAACAACCAGAACAACAAAATTATAAAGACAACGGCATTAATGCAAACTGCACAGACATTTTTTTAGTTTAATTTCATATATTTTATTTGTTTTACTTAATATAATAAACACTTTTTTATAGTCAGGGGTGTTTTACTAAATATAGACAATGTTGATAACATCTGTTATCCCACAATCGGTAATAGGTTCTAAAAAATCGGTAATAGGAAAAAATATTACTATTAGGTCGGTATTAGGAAAATTTGCTCTATTTTGATTTAGTATTTTTTATTAGCAATAAAAATTGAAATTTGGAAAAATAATTTAATTATTTGGAAACGTAATATAGTTATCTTCACATAAATTAAACGAGATTTTTGTAACCATAAAAATATAAAAGTAATCCAACGAAATATTGAACTTTCCTTAACTGGTGCGGTAATAGGTGACTTTACCTTATTTTACAAAATTTACCAGAAATATCATATTACATGCAAATTGCATGTTAAAATTTCAATATTCAATATTAAATTAGATAAACATATGCACACAACACAATATGTAAACTTCATTATAATAGACCTATTCCCTATTATTAATTATTAGCATAATTAATTTGAATAAGTTTAGAAACAAATTAATATTATGATTTTTATAACTTAGATAGGTAGGTAGATAGGTTCTAGATGGTTTTTGATATATGGTGGTAGATTGATTTCTATTAAATTAAGTAAAATGGATTTAAAATTGAATGGATGAAGTAGTAACAAAATTAGTTTGATAAAATAAACAAACCTTACTTAACTGCAAATTGAACTGAAATCTTATTTTACAAAATTTACCAGAAATTTATCATATTACATGCAAATTGCATGTTAAAATTTCAATATTCAATATTAAATTAGATAAACATAAATGTATTAAGTTTTAAAACATACAAAATAAAAATATGTGGTACTGTAATTATAACTTTATGATATAAAAACAACATTTTTACATAAAGACCTCTTCAAACCTACTATATTAGATCCAAATGTGTCAGGCAAGTCTTTATTGATGACTGGCATTCTTAAGTAAACTTAATTGTTCTGTCAGTAGGTCATAATTTGTTTTAGTTAAAAGAAATTATTAATTTAACTTTCTCTAAGGAATCTGGACATTAGACATCATTAAATAACTTAAAAATAAAGCATCCATTAGCCATTGCTTAAGTATGTATAGTATATTTTGAGAATGCAAAACATTTTATTTTAACAATCCAAGTACAGTTGAGAGATTCTAAAGGTGCTGATGGGGGATGGCATCTATGTGCAGCATTATAGTTGGTGTATGACAGAGACAAAATATTAGAAATAATGAAATAACAAATTTGACATAAAATTTGACACTGACTATAATGCTGAGCATAACATACTTCTACAATCATCATCATTTGTACTACAAGTTGAGCCTAGTTGAGCCTTAACCGTCCTAAGCCTATTTCTTCACTATGATACCAGTTTGCCATATACATTTCATTTCATAAACTATGTATGTATACCATGTACATTTATTAATCTTTTTAGTCAGAATATTGAATATTCTATAACCATTTTTCAAAATAGAAAGGAATGTAGATTCATTTTTTACTCCTGTGGTTTAACTAGCATGGACAGAACTTCCCAGAAAGCAAAGAATTGGAGATAATCTCAATCACCTTGTAAGGACAGTATAGGCTGGCCTATACTGTCCAATAGGTTTAGTTGAAAACATGAACATTATTCAGTTTTCAACTAAAATTGTGAAAACTACAAATATAATGTGCTGTACTTAAAGTTTAATAGACTGGTACAATGCAGATGAAATTTTTAATACTGATAAAATTGGATTTATTTTAAATGCATGCTATATAAAAAAACATTAGGTACTTTCAACTGTAAGAGACATGATTTAGAGAAAACACAGCAAACTTCATGATAAGTACCATACTTTTAGTTGCCTTCAAATCATGAACCAAAAAATGAAAACCTGTGGTAACTAAAATGTTGTGGTAGTATAAAAAGTTTACCAATTATTTGAGGCAATAATAAAAAATCATGAATGGTTGCTGATTTGTTTGAGTCATGATGTCATAAAATCGATCACAAAATTATTTTCATTAAAATTATAGTCTTTGGACTAAGGAATTATTCTGAGTTTCAAACAGAATTATAGTAAAAATAAGTATAAATATTATAGATTGGTACAGTGATTTTTTTATATAGGTTTGTGTGTTATTTTATGCCTTTCTTCAGTTGTACTTTTGGGTTTTCAAACAAACAATATAATAAACAGTATGTTTATTAATATTATAAACAATCTTCTTCTTTACTTTTTATGAGGTGTTGGATTTTAACATCATGGGTGATAATCAATTGGGTACTCCACAGATTTAGACTCTAATTTTAGAGAATTTTATAACATTCACCATAATTCCTGTGACGATTTGATACAATATAGTTCAGAATCATGATTCCATATTCGCTGTTACATTATTTCTATCTATGATTATTTTTGTGCTGTCACTTACAAATTCATACTTTTTTGAAATACTTCCTTTTGTTTGTAATGTAAGTATTGAAAGGATTGTAGAATATAGTGCTTTGACATAAAATCTCTTAATAATAAATTTTGTAGGGATTTATTTGTATTAATTTTGATTTATAGTTTTAATTTTATTTGTTTGTGTATTTGTTTTCACATTTGGTAGATTTTAAAAATGCTTTTGACTTAAAGACTGAAAAATCGCATCACAAAGAATTTATTTAATAAGTTTTTTATTTTTAGGTTGTTCTTACTATCCTGTACATTGATTTTAATTAGTATCTCAGCAGCTGAAGAAAATGATTATTACAAATTGCTAGGAATTAACAGAGATGCTACTGTTAAAGAAATTAGAAAGGCATTTAAAACATTGGCTGTGAAATTGCATCCCGACAAAAATAAAGTAAGAAAGTCTAGTAATATTTTATGTTTCATGCTATATCTTGAGTCTAGACGGTATATTATTGATTTTTTGGGCTACAGATACTGTCTTCATTTTACCAAGTAATTCAATACATTTTCAAGATAAATTTGTTTAAAATATGTCATAAAGGTGTACCATGACTGCAAAAAAGTATGTAAAGTACTTTTCTCAAAGTATGTAAAGTAGATTGTGACAGTTTTGCTTCTCCATGTAGTTGTTTACTGTTTTGACTGATTTTTGTTCTCTTACATGCATTAGTGGATTTATGTTGCTTCGACGGTTACGAGACGACCCAGAAACTCCTTCGGATTCTGGTTAAACAGAGTCAAAAACTGTGAGGGGGTCTCACGGTTGCGCTTATTGTCTAGAATAAGCAATAGCGCCACCCATCGCACCGGCAATTTTCTCATGCTCAAATTTCATGCAGGATATGATCCACGCGGTCTTTTGACATACCTACTATCTCAACTATCCCGGACACCTTCAATTGGTGGTATACCAATACGAGATCGTGGATTTCACGTTTTGTCACGTTATCTTCCGTGGTAGCCGTTGAAACTTGTTAAACCAATTTTTTGACAGTCACCATCAAAGAAGAGTTACTGTACACAGCATCCAAGTGCTCTATGATTTCGTTGCATGATTTCTCTTTTAAAAACAAGAACCTAATCAGACCGACTTTGCTCTTTTTCCATTTTTCTAAAATCCGCGGGCACATTCGTTTCCACGTGCGCTCAAAACAAAACTACTAGTCTAATTTACCTCAAATTTTGACATAGCCGTCTACGAAATTTTTCTACATAGTAAATTTCTCTTGCGATAGTGGCGCCATCGGGCGGTGAAGCTAAGTACTTATCGGATCGCCGTTGTGTATTAGGTAGCGTTCATTACAATAAATTTATATTAACATTTTTCAAATGTGAGTGCTTAGAGGTTTAAAGAAGTCTAGATTTGCTCATAAAATAATCCAAATGTTGGACGGTTGTCACCTTTGATATGATGTTTTAAATGATATGTTAAAGAATGAAGAGTCTTGTGCCGTCTAATCGCCTGGTAACTAATTATTCGTGATATGGCCGATGTAACCATTCATGGATCGATAGAAAAATAAAACATTTCATTTCACTTTTGCCAAGGGGCAAAAAGAACACCTAGTTCTCTTTGCACACCTTAAAAACTTAAGTTTTTAGAAAACCCAAGATATTTTTGAAAGAATGAATGTTTCACTAAATTGAAAACATTAAAAAATCGCTGGAGAAGCAAAACATTTTTCCAAAATTATTTTAGTATATATTTTAAATGCCACTTGCGCTAGACATATAGGTTTCTCTATAGTTTTCCCAGTACATATGAAAATGCAAGTATGCAAATAAGCTAGACGAAAGGAGACACCATTTTATTCTTGAAAGGATATGGTTGATTTATTTCTAATTCATTCTACAAATTTATAATTCAAATATTTTTTACTGTTTTGTGGTGAGGATAGAATAGTTCGTCAGATCGTGATGTATGATACATTATTGGAAAGGAGAGGGGTAGCGAATATGTTGAGACAGAAAGAACACAAATGTTCCATTCACTAGTGAATGGAACAAAGGTATAAACATCAAGGAATCATACTTAAACCATTAAGTATGATTCCTTGATGTTTATATAGTAAGACAAACTAAACAATACAAAACTATACTATAGAAATTTTTGAATACTATGTATACCTGGGAAACACACAAATCAAGACGAGACTGTAGTCCTTACCAAGAAATCTGTTAAAACAATGGAACTAAACACGCTTGGAATTTCACTAAGAGACTAGATTAGAAACATCAAGATAAGGCGTAGAATGGAGACCAAGTATATCGTGGAAGAAATTACAAAAATGAAATGGTGCTGGGCCGCTCACATAGCCAGATATGATGATAACAAGTGGACATGGAGAATCCTTGAATGGAAACCAAGGGAACGAAAAGAATCCTAGAAATCCTAGGAAAAGAATTGGGAAAGACCTACATTCATTAGTGAATGGAAAATGGTTGATGAAGAGAAGAGAGTTTTTCCAGTTAGTTATGTCCTCTTTCTTATAAATTGGTAGAATAATATGATTCTTTTTGCAATCTTTTGGTATATTATTTTCCTTCAGTATCAGTTTTCCCGTTTTTAATTTTTTTTGTTGTTTCGAAACAATCTAGTTCGCTTTTGGTTTTTCATTATTTTCTTAATTCCAAGTAAGATGTTAGTTAAAATATTGTGAAAAACTAAGTAATTTTCTATTTTATAATTCCTAAGAGAATGTACAATCTTGGACTATGGCAAAATTATTATTTGCAGATTCGGTTAAATGAATAGTAGTTCGGGAGGAATTACCACTGGTTATATACGAAGTAGTATTTATTATTATTAAATAATCAATATTATTATTATTGACCGGTTGTGTGCAGGTCAATAATAATGACTGCATAGTTCACTTTAAAACATTCTGTTGACTATTACTAAAAAATAAACACTCCTTCCATAATTCTTTTAGATTACCTAAAAAAAAATAATATTTTTAGGATGATGAAAATGCAGATAAAAACTTTATTCTGTTAGCTAGAGCTTATGAAGTATTGAAAGATCCTGATTCCAGAAAACATTATGATCTTTATGGAGAACAGACACCCTCAACACAATTTAAGAAAAAGTATCATAGTTACAGTTACTATCATGATCAGTTTGGTATCTATGATGATGATCCAATCATTGTTACTCTCAGTAGATACGATTATGGTACGTTTATATTAATTTTTTCAAATAATTGAAATAATAGAAACTGAATGGCATATATCCATCTCCACCAGCAATCAATTTATTTATTTCGTAATCTATATGTAGTATATAATAATATGTATATTTATGTATTTTTAGTTATTTACTTTAAAATGTGTAAATTACGTCGGATCAACTTAATTCCATATTACAATTTTGTATTTTAGAGGTAAATATTTTGGACACCAACCAAGCTTGGTTTGTAAACTTTTATTCCCCTAACTGCCATCATTGTCATGATTTGGCGCCAACGTGGCGAAAACTTGCTAAGGAACTGGAAGGAGTAATTCGAATTGCTGCCGTGAACTGTGAGGATGACTATAAACTCTGCCATCAGCTTAATATACGGGCATATCCCACCTTGTTGTACTACGAAAAAGAGGTATGCATTATTCTTTTTAATAAATATTTTTAGTATCTTAAGAAGTTATTGTTAAATGTTATTGGTGATCTTATCAAATTAAGTAGATTTGGTTGTTAAGGACAGCTTCTGTTCACTATATTAATATCTACTTTGAAAAAGTGATAAATTTTACTGAAACAATATCAAAATTGTATTTTGATTGTCTTTTTATCTACCTATCATATCAGACAATATACTGCTAATATACATGTCAATAGTCTTCAGACGCATGACGTGCGCTATTCTCATTCGCATGAGGTACATCTTATAGGTAAAACCCACAATACATAATGTAAAATTGAAGGTATTATTGGCTAAGAAATGTTCAGACCTGAAATTTATTTATTTAACGGGATACCCCCATTGCAGGATAGGTAAAAAACTGGAAAATAAGTGGGGTTTGCTTAGTAACAAAATTTTGTAACGCCATCCGTTTCCAAGATAAAGGTCGTTAAAGAAAACAAAATTTACACATTATTTACGATTGTGCCGAAACTGTGTTTAACCCTTTCAGTACCGTTTTTTTTTCAGCAAACGAAAAATATTATTTGCCTAAAATGTACGTAAAGCTTGGACATTAAAAAATATATATATATATATATATATATATATATATATATATATATATATATATATATATATAAACTTATTATGGGTTCATTTGTACACAAAAGTACTTACAAAATCTAAAAAACTAGCGCATGTGAAACATAAAACAGCAATTTCTTTCCTTTTGAAGGCACAAATAAACATTGCACTTCTGACATTTCCATCTTGATTTTCCTGTACAACCAGGGTTTTTGCATCTTAAAGGTAAATATAGCTATGGGTGCTCTGGAAAATGTCCAATATTATCAAATTGCACCTCAGTAAGAGGTCTAATTTCAACGTTTTGGCGTTTTGCAGCTACTACTGCATCACTTGAGGGTCTTCCCCGTTTGCGATTATTGAAAGAGTTGACTTTTATGCGAGCTTCACAAACTTTCATCCTAAACTGTTGAAGGTCCATGATATCTTTTTGTGGAATATGCATGTCTCGTTTATACTCTAACCAAGAGTTTGTTAGGGCCATGTCAACTTCATGAAAGATTAGTCGAACAGTCCACTTTCTGCAATGATTTTTTGTTCTGTAAAACGCAATAAGAGCATCTGTTTTATCTATGCCACCAATAGACTTATTATACTTTTGTATAACTTCGGGTCGACTTGCGCAATAAAACAGTTTGTTTTTATTTCAACGTTTTACAACATCTGTACCAACCCCAACGAAGTTAGATATCATTATCACTGGCTTGTTATCTACCATCTGGTTACTACAATTCCATCAAAAAGATAATTTGTTCCGTTGATTCTCTCTCCTTTTTTGAAAAATCTTTTACATCAGTTAGAGGTGGTTTAGAAAATCTATTGATCCTCACAGTACCAGCAACAAATATTGATTTTTGGTTGGGAATTTTTAAAAGTCCCTGTCCATATTTCAAATAAGAAGGTTCTTTTTCTGTGGTACTACCTTGATAGATTAGAAAATTGTAAATCCATCCACTTTCACCACTTAATAAATACAGTTTTACTTCCGATGGATTGGGTTTGTTTTTGATGTATTACTTTTTAGACAATATCCCTTTGAAGGGCATGATTTGTTCGTCTATGCAAACATTTGTTTTTATCTGCAGTTTTCTACGTCTCTTTAGGACTGATTCAAAAACTGGTCGAACTTTCCATAGTTTGTTATTACTCTGTCTGGGTTCCAGATTGTCAACACAATGTAAGTGGGTGCGAAGTTTGAAAACGATTCAATGTCATTGTGTCTGGAAAAATATCAATTTTTATATTTCCCCAATACATTCGCAGTCTTGGAAATTTTAGATTTCCAAGACTGCGAATGTATTGGAGAGAATGCTAAGACCAACAAACTAAATACCAAGGCCGAAAAATTTCTTAATTCCTGTTTGCAAAGCATACATATTCGTGATTTGAACGAAATTTTCAAATACACTTTCGGGGAAATATCTCAGAAAATATGTAACTGGATATTCTTCAGAACAGCTTTCATTAGACACACGGGTTATTGCATTAGGTAGTTGTCGTGTTACATATTGAACATTCTGTAAAGATTTTACATATTTTGTTAGAGCGATGAAGTTATCATATATACTTGTCTTACTTGTAGTTCTTCTTCGCAGTCACTGTCATCACTAACACATCCTTCTATGTCGGACAGTTTGTCTAGCTCTTCTAGCAGTTTCATTGGGTAGAACTAGTGACGAGTTTATATGACGTCATTATTAGATTTGGTGAGATTGAATTTGTAACTGACATGTCATAATATTGGAATCAATTTCTAGGTTAAACATGATACACTGATATTTCCAATATAATACAAAGATATTTCTATGGGTCTAATATTTGGTCATGTATAGTAAATATAATCTGAAAATGTTATTTTCAAATTATAATCTGGGAAAACAAAATAGAGATATATTTTAGTTATTTATTTCGTAAGCAGTTTTTCTCCTAGTTTGTGGACTATGTTCGTAAGCTGTAATATTGAAACTATGGGAGCAAAATGAAATGTTGAACTATGACTTCTTTACCTTCTTTTGGAATAAAATTACATAAAATGTATGTTTTACTTATTACAACAATGCTTAAAAATGAAAATCAAAGTTACATTTACAAAATATTACTAACAATATAAAGATAATACTGATAATAAAAATAACGTTTTTAGTATAAATTGTATTATATGTTCTAAAATACTTTATGAATAAATTAAAATAATAATAGACGCATGTACTTCTCTAATCGCTTCTAGTTGTATCAATAGACCACCGTTCTTCTTTTCACTCTCAAAATATTCAATTTAATTTGCAATTAATTGCTTGTAATGGCTGGTCAAATGCGATCGCATTTTTGTTTTAATACAATTCAATTAAAATATCCAACAATTTGAATTAAAATCTAATGTAACTAAAGTGAAACTAAAGTAACAGACTTTGGTGTATAGACAGCTTATATTTTAACCATTTTCCAACTATAAACACAAATCTTACATAACCTTTTATAGGACAACATGGGTTCTACACTTATAGTACAGGTAGTGATCTTTGTTTCACACTCTTAAAGACAAAGAGAAACAGTGTACTAGAGGTGGTAAATACATATATGTTTTTTAATTAGCAACAGCGCTTTCCAGCGAAATTCGACATTGGTGGAAAAATTTGTTGAATTTGTTTGCCGTCAAGTTTGTACCAGTGGGTTATGGTATCATTAAATCTATTACCTACACCTCTAATTGTTTGATTTGTCCTTCAGATTCGTAAGGGTCGACTCCCTTTGCTGAAACCCATGGTGTTCATTTACAATTATTCACCTGCATTGCCAAGCGAGAACTTACCAAACTATTAAAAACTTAGCAATAGAATGTCTCTTCCAGCATATCTACATCCAGCAGTTTTTAGATAAGACTTAGCTCTTTTTGGTCGAGACTTTGCTTCAAGAAATACAGAAACCTTTTCCTCTTAGCACCGCCCACGCTCGCTGGCTGGTCCTTGCTGATCTTTATCGCAGTTTTCTGGATGTTTTCAGTAGTTTCTCTTCATATTCGAAAGTATGAACTATAGTGAGATTCACCCATCGAGCAAAAAGACAAAAGAGGGAATGCAGAGGTAGTGGGGGCAAATATATTGTTAGACAGGAAGTGCCATCTTGAGAGGCCACATTAAACAAGGAAGGAAAGTCTCTTTCCTTGTTTAAGAAATCAAATTTAGTTGGGTTATGTTATTGCTAATGTTATTGTTTGTCCCAACTGTCACATGAAAGATTATTTGTATTTTTTATTGAAGTTTTTTAACAATTTACACATTTTAGACTATTATCGTTATTATTTAATTAAAACTTTATTGTGTTCTAGTGTTAAAACAGTATTTTAAGTGTATTATGTATTAATATTATGTAATATAAAATAAATAAATAGATAAATTAGAACCACTACACCACTGTATGATTATTGTGAAGTGTAACGAAATTTAAATTTGGCGCATTTGCATTTCCTGATATGTCCGCCATCAGAGGCCACTTTTTGGTCTCCTTTTCATAACGGTTAGATTCCCTCTTTTGTCTTTTTGCTCGATGTATTCACCTCTATACTTTCCTGATGACTGAAGCTGTTTTATCACCTTCCTTGTTTATTTGTTCCTGATCCATTCTTATCCCACTGGAAGATAAGAATTTGATGCTTCATTTCGACTGAGCATGATAAAGGGTTCTTAAGATTTCATATAATCTAATTAGTTGTCGAAGATTCAGATCAAATTTTATATTCTAAATAAACATACACTGAACGGCAAAAAAGTGGCCACCCTATAAATTTCAGAAAATAAAAATTCATTGTAAGTTTTATGCACTGTTTTATGCACAACTACAGTACGGAGACCTTTTCATCGCTTTATAGAGAATGGTACACACTCACGTCGACCCGGTTCCAGTCGTAGAAGAGTTACCTCGCACAGAGATGATCGTTTTATTGTCCGATGGAACTTATCTAAGGAAATAGAAATCGCCATTCCACTGAAATTGCTGCAAGAAACCGTCTGCAGGAAGGTCATCTTTGGGAGGAGAAACATATTTGGGATGAACTTCATCGTAGGGTTAGAAGTCAACCAGGTCAGCCAGAAAGTCTTGCAAACATGCTTCGTGAAGAAAATGACTGTATTCCTGTAGTTTTTATTCAAAATTTGCTTCTGTCCCGTCCAAATCCCATTGACGTTTTAGGGCATAATACCCGATATTAGATAATTTTGTTCAAATTTACTTGTAATTTTCATTATTTGAAATTGATTTCGATATTACAGTATTTTATTTTGTATCCATCTATTTAAATAAATTATGCTAAGGATTCAAGCGGTATTTTCCATTTTTTTGTTTTAAAAAGGAAAGATGTTGAGTATATACAATATGAAACAGTGCATAAAACTTTTAACGAATTTTTATTTTCGGAGATTTATAGGGTGGCAACTGTTTGCTGATCAGTATATATTTTTGTACTTAGATGTTCATTCACTTATATAATCAATATATTAATTGTATTTTATAACATTTTTGTTTCAGTTTCACCTCTACGAAGGATTAGAATATAGAGGCGATAGAACATTGGAAGCTCTTGAGGAACATGTGCTGTCGAAATTGGATGTGAACTTACCAGATATAAGTTCTGGTAACTGGACCGAACTTGACACCGGAAATGTTCCATGGCTGCTATTTTTGTGTGGTGATAACCAGGACTGTCCCGAGAAGAAACCTATGCTAAAATTAGGAACGTCCTTGGTAAGCAAAACTATGTTATATATTGATTTTGGAATAAATTACTAGTTACATACTATATTTATTACTTGCTATTTTTATTCACGTTGATGCGGCTATTTTAGGTGTTGGTTAGGTTTTGGAACTGTTCAAATAATTCGTTCGCATCTCTATTTTTTTTCTTCGGTATACTTTATACAGGTGTTAACTTTGGGAGTTATAATTAGATCATTGATGGATTCGACCGTTACTTGATGGAAATTCATTATATGTAACAATAAAACACTGAAAACTTTGTTTTCAAACTTCCACAAAATTTATTTTAACTCTTATCACTATAGCTATTTCGGCTGATTGCCTTTCTCAAGTGATCTATTTTTGGCATGCGTTTACAATTTATAGGCTCTAATGAAATAGGTTGAGGAGGGGAGAACTGTTTGTCTCAAGTTGGTCATTCAGAATTATATCTGTGTTTTTTTAATTTGTTGATTTCCATAGATTCTAACAAAGATAGCTTTTAGCCTTTATTTTGAATGTGAAGAATTTTAAATTTGTCATTAAAAGAATGATCATGATCTACCACTCCACCTTCTAGATCATAATCATTCTTTTAATGACAAATTTAAAATTCTTCACATTCAAAATAAAGGCCTTAAGCTATCTTTGTTAGAATCTATGGAAATCAACAAATTAAAAAACACAGATATAATTCTGTATATAATCTGATATAATCAAAATAAAGGCCTTAAGCTATCTTTGTTAGAATCTATGGAAATCAACAAATTAAAAAACACAGATATAATTCTGAATGACCAACTTGAGACAAACAGTTCTCCCCTTCTCAACCTATTTCATTAGAGACTATAAATTGTAAACGCATGCCAAAAATAGATCACTTGAGAAAGACAATCAGCCGAAACAGCTGTAGTGATAAGAGTTAAAATAAATTTTGTGGAAGTTTGAAAACAAAGTTTTCAGTGTTTTATTGTTATAATTAGATGTTTTTGAGAAACTTTACAGAATGAATATCTGAAAATTCAGGATATCAGGTTTTTTGATATGTCCAATTATTCTAAAATATTTAGTTCCAAGTTTGTATACACATCTGGTGAATTACATCGGTCAAACTGGTAGGACCTTTAACAAACGTATAGCAGAACAGAAAAGAGCTATTACTAATAAAAAACAGATTCTACGTACGCACTTCACCTTCTTCTTCGCGTGTCATATCAGAATTATCCGACGTTGGCGATCACCATTGCGAAGGCTTCTCGATCATCTGTAATATGGGAATAATTGTAGTGCATTTGATCTCTGAGTCCATTCACGAATGTTTTTCAAGCAAGAAACTTGTTTTATTCCTACACCTCTACGCCCTTCTATTTTGCCTTTCAGGATCAGTTGTAATATTTTATATCGACTTTATCTAATATAGATGTCCCAGATAAGACATTTTTCGATGTTTAACAGTTTTTAGCAGTTCTCTATCTTTCTTGACGCTCCTTAGTACTTCTTCATTAATTTTCCTTGCTGTCCAAGGTATCTTCAGCATTCGTCTATGAACCCACATTTCCAATGCTTCAATTTTGTTTATAATCGATACTTTTAGGTCCACACTTTTGCACTATACAAAAGTACGGGCCAAACATAGCACTTAACCATTCTTTGTCTTAGTTCTAAACTGAGATGATTATTGCAAAGGAATGACTTCATTTTCATAAAAGTAGTTTTAGTAATTGCTATTCTACGTTTTATTTCTATGTCTGGATCTGGTTAGTCCGTTATCACAGTTTCCAAATATGCCATTTTGTGAACTTTCTCAACTTGGACTCCGTTTAATTGAAGCTTTGCATCGGGATGTGGGTCATGACTAAACACTAACAATTTGAATAATTGATTGATTCGACCGTTACTTGATGGAAATTCATTTTATGTAACAATAAAACACTGAAAACTTTGTTTTCAAACTTCCACAAAATTTATTTTAAATCTTATCACTACAGCTGTTTCGGCTGATTGCCTTTCTCTAGTGATCTATTTTTGGCTCGGGTTTACAAATTTATAGTCTCTAATAAAATAGGTTGAGGAGGGGAGAACTGTTTGTCTCAAGTTGGCCATTCAGAATTATATCTGTGTTTTTTAATTTGTCGATTTCCATAGATTCTACCAAAGATAACTTAAGGCCTTTATTTTGAGTGTGAAGAATTTTTAATTCGTCGTTAAAAGAATGATCGTGATCTAGAAGGTGAAGTGCGTATGTCGAATCTGTTTTTCTCTTCTTGAAAGCCCTTTTATGTTCTGCTATTCGTTTATAAAAGTTTCTACCAGTTTGACAGATGTAAGTTTTTGGGCAGTCGCCACATTGAAGTTTGTACACACCACTATTTAAGTGTTTTTTTATTTTGGCTCTTGTTATTTTTAATATATTTGCCTAGGTTGTTATTTGTTTGGAAAGCTGGTGTTATTCCTTTCTTTTTTATGTGTTTGGCAATTTTTGTTGTTCCTAACCCAAGCCAAAAATAGATCACTTGAGAAAAGCAATCAGCCGAAAAAGCTGTAGTGATAAGATTTAAAATAAATTTTGTGGAAGTTTGAAAACAAAGTTTTCAGTGTTTTATTGTTACTAAAAAATTTGGTTTTGTTTGAGTTTATTTTAATGCCTATTTCCTCTCCTACCTCGTGAATACGATCAAGCAGAATTTGGAGACCTTCAATATTATCTGACAGAATTACTGTATCGTCTGCATATCTAATCACATTAAATAGTTCCCGGTTGATTTTTATTCGATATGGTTGTCTCTCAACTGCCTTTTTAAATAACTGGTGGCGACAAAATGCAACCTTGTCCGACTCCCCATTGTATGGAGATTTCATCGGTGTAGTTATCTCCAATTTTTACGATAGCAGTTTTTTGTACTTCAATACAAATTTTTAATGACACGAATATCCTTGTCATCTATTCCGATATTTTTCAGTATTTGCATTCATTTTACATGCTGTACTTTATCGAATCCCTTTTCTGCCTTTTTAAATAACTAGTCAAAGTAAATATTGAACAATGTTGGCGACAAAATGCAACCTTGTCTGACTCCTCGTTGTATGGAGATTTCATCGGTGTAGTTAACTCCAATTTTTACGATAGCAGTTTTTTGTACTTCAGTACAAATTTTTAATGACACGAATATCCTTGTCATCTATTCCGATATTTTTCAGTATTTGCATTCATTTTACATGCTGTACTTTATCGAATCCCTTTTCGATGTCCACGACACATGCAAATACATCTTTTCTTTGGTCACGGCAATTTTGTAATAGGATGTTAAGCTCAAAAAGTGCCTCCCTCGTTCCCATAGCATTTCTAAAACCAAATTGGGTATCTTCGAGATCTTCTTCGCATTTGCGTCTAATTCTATTGTGAAGTATTTTTAGAAAAATTTTAAGAGTGTGGTTCATTAGGTTAATTAATCGATATTCTGAGCATTTTCTCGCACTGTGTTTTTAGGTACTGCGACAAAGATGGATTTGAGTCAATCTGTGGGAATCACTCTGGTGTTATATATTGAATTAAAAAGTCTTACTACTACTTTTATGTTATCATCTATTAGTTTCAGAAACTTAGTTGGTGTATCATTTGGACCACAAGCTTTTCTAATTTTAGCATTATTTATAGCGTATTCTACCTAGAATTTCATAATTTATGGGCTATTAGTACAGTTTTGGTAGAATTCGGCAATATTATTCCTGTCATCTTCAAAAAACTCTGATATATACAGCTGCCATTCTTTTCTTATTTCGTGTTAATTTACAATAATTTTGTTATTATTGTCAACGAGCACAGAGGGAACTCGTTTTTTGAATATGTTACTCATTTCTTTTAGTTTTTTGTCAACATAAAATAAGTCGTTAAATAGTCGGCTAATTTGTTCTTCTTATTTATTCTTTTCTTCAGGTGTCTATGTTCTGTTTCATTAGATTTTATCAGTCGACGTTGTTCCATTAATTTCAAGATGTCATCTGTCATGCATTTATTTTTTATTAGTTTTTTCTATAATCATTGTTTGTGGCAATTTCGTTAACTTGGTTTTTAAATTCACTCAATAATTCTTCTGGATCTTCTAGTTGTTTTCTGATGTTTTTTCATTTTATTATTAAATTCTTTTTTTAATGTTATGTTTTATGTTTATATCGTCAAAGTTAAGTACAGCACTTCACCTTATAGATTATAATCATTCTTTTAATGACCAATTTCAAATTCTCCATATCCAAAATAAAGGCCTTAAGCTATCTTTATTAGAATCTATGGAAAATAATACTCGCCACACACAGCTCTCCCATTCTCAATTTATTCAGCTAAAGATTCTAAAGTGTATACGCGTAGTAAAGATTCTTCACTTGAGACAGGTACTCTGCCGAAACAGCTTAGTGATAATAAATTATGATAAAGTTAGTGGAAGAGTTGAAAACAAAAGTTTTCAGTATTATATCGGTAACGATCGAATCTATTACATAATTATTTTAAATTATTTAGTTGTTTGTCTGATTTATATTTATAGGAAGGACTGGTATCTGTTGGGGTAATTCGAGAAGAATCATTATGTGAAAAATTATCGAGCGACTATAAAAATAATCCAATGGTATTATTACAACCAGCCAAATCAGACTCAGAAGGTCCTAGTCCTTTAAAAATGCACATTATTGAAGAATACGGATCAAACACACTGGAGACCATTTTATCAAAATTGCCCGATCCGGAAACTATTGATGAAGATCAGTTTAAGGTAAGCAAGTTCAATACATTTATTAATGAGTATATATATATATATATATATATATATATATATATATATATATACATATGTTTACAGGATTTAACTTGTAAATACAATACATTTTGGTGACGGCTATCACCGTATTTGTGTTTATATAAGATTTGTATTTCTTCATTGTCCCAATAATGTTGTTTTTGTTAATGTTTCATTTATAATTCCTAATTTCATTTTCCTAATATTTTAAGGTAAGATTTCGTTGTCAATAAATAATTTATAAAAATAAATCGGATGATCTCCTTCCCTCTTTCCCTCTTCAAAGGATTCTCCTTTGGGAGAATCCTGAATATTCCGTTAAAGTAAATGTCTTTAAATTACCTACAAAATTGTAAACAAAACTCAAAACTATAAAAGTAAATACTAATTTATATATTGCCTGCACAATTATTCCAAATGACATTAGGATTATTATTAGTATTATTTAAAAAAATCAGCATCGTTATTGAGAGATTCTAGATCAGATTCGAATTCTAATTCTTGTCCATCACTGTTAATTTTTAAATTAGGGGAAAAAGAACACTAATCTTGATAATTTCGATCATCTATCGAATCATCATCTTCACTAATAAAGTCATACTCCATTTCACTCAAATTCTCCGTTATTTCAAGTAGTTCAGCATCACTTAATTTTTTATTTGCCATTTTACCGATTTTAGAAACCTAAACACACAAGAGTAATGTTGTACAAACTAATACAGTGAATCACGCCTGCAAGTCAATAATATGCCATGTGCTGAAAGAGTCTCATACTGCTCCGCCAGAATTTAAAAAAACCAGTCATAGTATGGCCATTTGTTGAATAAGTCTCAAACTGCTTCGCCAGAATTTAGCCGCAAACTGTATTAGCCTAGATGCGCATATAAAAGCATCAGAACTGTGTACCAAACGTACACAAAGCTTGAAATATTACCACTTTATGTGACAAAATTTGGTACACGCAGTTTCTGGTAAACATCAACTGTGTACCAGAAATAGTACACGCAGTAGCCAAAGTTTTAAAGCAATTTTACTCTATGACCTGAAATACAACAACAACAAACAACAACCAAATCGACTACATATTGATTAGAAACAGATGGAAGACCTGTTTTACAAACGTAAGAGCAAGAGCAGAATGTGGATTCGATCATAAATTGGTATGGGTTAGCATCTAACTAAAGCTAAAAGAACCAAGCCGCAGCAGACTCACAAAAGATGGGAGATTTCAAATCCAGAAATATTTAAAGTCGTATTAAAGAAAACTAGCATTTTAGAACATAAAACAGTCCAGAAGAAATGTGGAAGGTATTCAGACATGCTATAGAAGCCTCTAGAGAAAAAACCAGCATAAAAAAGAAAATCATAAAACAGCATTGATTAACACACAGAAGGGTTCAACTTCTTGAAGTGCGAAAAAGAATAAAATATTTCATGCATCAGAACAACAGCAAAAAAATAGAATTGTATAGGCTAAACAAAGAAATAAAAAGAGCATGTAGACAGGACAAAAATAAACACATAATGAAGATTGTGAAAAACTGGAGAGGCATGCAAACCGTTATGAATCCCATGAATTTTACAATAAAGTTCGTTATCTGGCTAGATAATTTAAACTAATCACACAAACAATAATGGATGAAAACCAGCACATTATAAATGACGAGAAAGGGATTACGGAAGTATAGCGAAAATTTGTTGAAAGACTGTATACAGATGGTGTTCAGGATATAAATCACGACGAGTTCACTACACAGAGAACCCAACATCCTAAAGTCAGAGTTATAAAAAGTAATTAATACGCTAAATATAAAATTATAAAAATTTGATAAAAGTCAACACATCCCTGAAAGTGATTAGGACTGACAGAATATAGAAATCTGGAAATTCATATGATATGTACTGGTCTGAAAAAAGAATATGGTATCTACTACCCCTCGGTCAAGGCAAAAAACAATTGAATCGTCTAGTTTCCAGAACGCAAATAAATCAACAAACTAAAAATAGAATATATATAACACGATCATAGAAAGTTTTGCAACTTCTATGTTCTGGGTTTTGGGAACTCAATCCATGAAATCCAATTCCAATCAAAATATCGAATTTTGAAGATGTTTTTTAGGCTGATATTTAATGACAACATTAATGATTGCGACCATTATACTCGACACTTTAGAGGCCAAATATTAAAAAGTATGTATGACAGCATATGCCATATGGACAAAGGCACACTACAAACAAATGTTTAAATTAGTACCAACACATGTGATGTGAAGTAATTTGAAGAAAACGTGAAGTTTTTCATCCTGACTATCTTAAAAGTTGTTATATGAAAAAGTTTCAGTACTTTTCTATTTTTTTTTTCTTGCAGAAAATAAAAACTGGACTGGAAAGTGGATCTGAATCGCCGTGGCTGTTTTGCTTCTATTTAGGAGCTGCCACTCAACTAAATTTACAACTCAAACGGCTTCCTCAACTAATACCTAACATAAAAGTTGGTAAGTGTTTGCATTTTTTGTTACAATAGTATATTTGCAAATAAACATTGCCTGGAAAGATTTTAAATTTATTGTTGTCAACCGTACTATGGATTGTTGCACAAGAGTGGATTTGAATTATATTGCTTGCTTGGTTGTGATTGATTTGACACATACGAAATGCAGTTAAATTGGGGTAATAAAAATTTATGTATCATTTGCAATTCGCAATAGCCAATTCCGACAGGAGGCGCTGAAGATTTCAAAGATGGACGATAACTTCGGGGAACAAATCATTTTGTCATTTGATCTCTAAGCAATAAAACGTTTAATATAAATCATTTACACGTATGTTTTGTCAAAGTAAAAGTTGGAGTACGTTTTTCAAAGTTTATTTGTTGTGATTCGATTTTATACATAAGGTAATTGACTCCCAAACCTGAATAAAAATAAAATTAAATGTTTGTTTTTCTACAGTATGTCTGAAACACGGGAAGTAAAATTTACATTATCTTAATTATTTATATGGTTGCAATATCGGCAGAGATCTTTAGTTGAGTGTGAGGCAGTTTTTGGAGATGGCCACGTTATATTTTGTAAATTACGCCTTACGTTTTCTACTAATAACTTCATGAGACCGTTGGGGCAATTTAGCTGATAAAACAGAATTTTTCTTCAGTCTTCTTAATTTAGTTTCAGGTGTTACTATAAAGTAAATTAAGTATAAATTTATTAAAACACTTAGAATGTAATCGTTCTCAGTAAAATGTAAACTGCACACAGTCATGTACTTGGTTATAGGTTGGTCAATTCGCAAAATGCATTGCCAAACTTTTCTCATATGCTCGTCCAGTGGAAACTTATATATGGATTTTTTTGTGGATTATAATAGGATGAACATTGAGGAACACTGCAATAGTTTTTTGAAGTCGAAGTCATTGTTAATTACAATATAAACCGGTCGCTAATATGTATACAAAATAATGACAATTTCAAAGTTTTCCCGAAGTGGATGCTTTTGAAATCTACCACCAGGCGTCGCCCACTTTGCGGTTCCTCGCGAATTGAGGCCATACTGTCAACATTGCGTGTTCCTTTGTTTTATATTTTTTGTTTTGTTTTAACTTTCTATATTTAAATATAGATCAGTTCTTATTACATCTAAACTGTAAACTAAGTACGGACGCAAATTGCTGTTAGGTTATGTTTTGACAGATATGTGTTTAAATTATCAACGTAACGACGATGTCGAAATGTTACAAAGGTCTGCAAATGTAACAAGTTTCTGTCTTTTGAGGTCGTCATTTCATACCAAGTTCTTAGATTATGAAACCAGGAAATACGTCGTCTTCCGAGTCCTCTTTTGTCAAACATTTTAACTTCAATAACCAACTGAACCATTATTTCTCATAATATAATATGTCCAAAGTGTTCACCATGTGAAGTTCATGGTTTTATGACGTGTCTCTTGCTATCAGGCTTGGGCCTTACCAGATAGTGGAGGATCGAAGACAAACGCATGAGAGAGCAAGACATTGATTTTAACCAATTTTTTCTCTACGGAGTAAACACAATCCAACTGCCTTGGATGGCAGATGACACACAGCGTTGTCTTCTACGTAGAGAATTGCAGATATTTGTATATGGAAGATACAGATATTTCACGTACTTTGGTAGTTTAGAGACCTATAGTGGTCTATATTTTCTACCATCCAGGATAGATGGACTTGCGTATCGTGTCCCTTCCGAATGGGAAATTTAGTGCTGGCCTTTCATCTTTGTGAAAATGAATATTTCGAACAACAAATGTATTATTCCCAATAACAGCTTTCAATAAATGATTATGTTTTATGTTTTCAGGTTTAATTCATTGTGGACGAAATTCTGCATTGTGTTCAAGTGTACATATCGTAAGATATCCATCGTGGGGGGTTTTAAAAGCTGGTGGAGCTTTTGAGTTACATCATGGACGTGATGTATTGTATGAAGTAGCTAATTTTGCCAAAGAAAGTACCAAATCAAAGAATTTTCATGCTTTATGTGAAGAAGACTTTTATGATATAATAAAAAAAGGTAATTACTTTAAATCCAACATAATGCAAAATTCTAGTCGATAATATTTCCACTTTTTTTTATTACATAACTTATTACATAAGTTTTCTGTGTATCAAAAACGTCAACCTTAAGTATGTAATATTCTATTATTTTATTGTATTATTTATAGGCACTCCTTGGTTTATTGACTGGTATGCACCCTGGTGCCCACCCTGTAGAAGATTACTTCCTGTATTAAGAAAAGCGAGCCAAAATTTCGATTCCCAAAAAGTACAATTTGGAACTATCGATTGTACTTCTCATATGAATCTTTGCAGAAGTCAAGGGATTAATTCGTATCCAACATCAATCTTATATAACAATTCCAAAACTCATCATTTCCATGGTTCGCCAGATGCCAGAAGTATTATAGACTATTTAGACGACATGTTAAATCCGACAAGTAAGTAATGTTAGCAATTTTATCCATATGAAATTAGTAAATTTGTATTAAGGGAGGACGCTTTTTGTACCTCTGAATCTATTTTTTATTTGTTCGTGAGTTGTCACTTTGAGCTGTTCTTAGGCTCAGTCTAATACCTAAGGATGGCTGTCAGATCTTTTGGGTATGCAGAAAACTTTTCCTGGATTTAAGACGTTGGCGGGCGGGCTGGTAATCATAGAGAGGGTGTGCACGTTGAAGCATGTTAAATCATCCGGCAATCTTGTCCAATTTTTGAACTCAGAAATTTATTTTAGCTACGCCCATGGCTAACAAATCCTTAGAAGTTATACTACACTTTCTAATTTGCATTTCAAGTACAAGACATGGTTCTCCTACGATCCTTTCCCTTCTCATAAACAAGTCAATAGCTTGTGTGTTTGCTTTATCGCTTTCTAAATCCTTCTTCGAAAATCAAGTTTAATAAAAAATTACGAGGAAGTCCCTTTTACCTGAATTGGTCCTCACTCCCAAAGTATAATTAGGGCTAATCTCGTATGAGCTAAAAAATACCCTCTTTAGAGAAACTCTAAGCTCTCATAGAATATCGCTAAGTATTATTTTACTTGTGTACCAGCCTTCGAGTTAAAGAGATCAACGTAACGGTAAGTCGTTTGTTCAGATCATTTTTTGTAACTGTCTATTATAGACTATAATTATAGACTTGAATGTCACTTATGTTTGCCATTGTACCTTGGATCTTGCATATCATATCTTGTAACTTTTATCCTGCATATTGTGGGTTGCATATTACATCTTACATTTTACACACTGCGGTTAGATACATCCTACTGCTTATAGTTGAATTAGATAGATACCATCCTGCCGCTATATTACCTATAGTAAGACACTGTGCGTGTTTCTGTTGACACAACCGCCGAATTGTTTATTGTTATTGAGGGTTATATCTATCAGACCGGTGTGGCATGATCTGTGGCATACTGGGCAATCGTACTCCGCTGCGGTTTAACGTAGAGCCATTTCATTAGTTTTCAGTGTTTGTGGTTACGCCTCCCAAGAAGTATCTGTTAGTTTCTGTATTATGTTGTTTTTGGTAACAATTTTCTGTTTTATGTTATAGTAGTGTTTCTTGTATGTAAGATCCAGGGTTAAGCCCAAATATTTTGGTGTAGGACAATGTTCCAAGAGTGTGTCTTCCCACATAATCTGGATTTTTCTTGGCAGCTTATTTTTTCGATGAAAGGCGCAGGTTATATTTTGATTGAATTTGGGCTTCAGATAATTTTTGTTAAATAGTTTGGAAGTCGTTGCTCTGGACTGCAATGACACAATCATCCGCTTGTATAAATCTCTGCTTGCCTAAGGGTTGATCGTTCCTATATATGTTAAATAGAGATAACGACAAAAGTATTTCTTATAACAGTCCATTCTTTTCTGTTCTCTAACAGAAGTGCGATTTTCGGAACCATCTGTTATTCAGTATTTAAGCTAGTTTAAGCATTTGCGGGGTACTGTTTTTACCATGTCTAAATCCAGCTTGTTGTGTGGTGACAAGAGCTCCAATAGCAGCTGTCAGGCTGTTAGATCTTGAGATCATCTCTGCCTTTCCCAGGTTTCAAGAAGGCCCCACTTTGGTCTTCCTTCAGATTTTTGGCAGTTTATTACATTTAGAGCAATTATTCATTAGTGCTGCTAGCAATTTCCTTGTTATTGTGCCGAATTTCTTTATCATCCATACGAACTGCTTTGCCATTTTTACAGAAGTTGAATGCTTTGTTGATCGCCACCAAGGTAGGTTGATCTTGGCAGCTCCTCAGTCTACCTTTCTGGCTGCTGTTAGATTTTTTCCTTCTAAAACTTTGCTGAGTTCACGATTATCCCACTTTTCTTGATCTGGTCAGCTTTACGTTGGCATATCTACTGACCATTTGGTAGGTTCACAGGCCAAACACGTCAATAGTGACCTGGTCTTTAAACTATTTCTCCCCATGTTTAGGTCGTCCATTAATATTATTTATCGTGCTCTTTTGGTTTCCGTGGTCTGAGAGATTATTTGTTGTCCTTTGGCGATTGTCTCAAGCCTGAAGAGATTGTTTTCGTAAGATATTTCTATTCGTCTGGGACAAGCCTTATATGGTGGACTTGCTCATCTAGCTGCTTTGGAAAGTCAGTTTGCTGTTTTTAAAATTATATCTTCGGTGATATTTTATTTTCTGAGGTCATACGGCTGGGTGTATTTGGCATATTATAAGTCGATGCTGTGTTTCTGAGATGGGTTTATGATTTGTTACTTTGATGGACTATGTTATTACTCACAAAGAGAAAGTCTCGATTATATGCACGTTACTAGCTTACTATCACGACCTCAGAATGAGGGTAGGCAATATTTTTCAGTTGGAGGCCGTATGGTGAAAAATGTATGGTGGACCACGGTCAAAAGTGAAACAATTGATAATAGTGATAGTATTTATTTAAAATAAATATTGTTTTTATACTTATATTTTCCAAATATTTTATAACAAAATTGCCGATATCCAATACAGCCAAAAGCAAAAATTATGAAATATGACTTCCGTAAATGTAAAGGAAAAGTAAAAGTACTAAAAGTGGCAGAAATGAGGTTCAGAATGCTTACTGGAACATTCATCTTAAATATTTTTTTTAACCGTTTTTCTATCCGAATTGTCGAATAAAGGCCTCTCCCATTTCTCGCCATTCATCCCTGTTGTGTGCTAGGCGTTTCCACATTGGTCCTGCGACTCTTTTGATATCGCCGCTCCAGCGCATTTGAGGTCTTCCTCTTGGTCTCTTCACATCGTATGGTCGCCAGTTTCCGACTTCTTTGTTCCATCTACCATCTTCGAGACGTTCGTTGTGTCCAGCCCATTTCCATTTTAATTTAGCTGCTTGTTTCGCGGCGTCCTTTATTTTTGTTTTGTTCCGGATTGCTTCGTTCGTTTGCCGATCTATTAGTGAGATACCAAGCATCTGTCGTTTCATGGCTCGCTGAGTTTTTCGAATCTTGTCCATGTTCTTTTTTGTGAATGTCCAGGTTTGAGCTCCGTAAGTGAGAAGGGGAAGGATACAAGAATCGAATGATTTGGTTCGAAGGTTTTGGGCTTTTTGTCTTTCAGTATGTATGAGAGTTTTCCAAATGCGGCCCATCCCATTCTTACTCGTCTGCTTATTTCGGTAGTTTGGTTTTCTTTGTTTACCTTGATATTCTGACCCAGATATATGTATTCTTCTACATGTTCCACTTTTGTTCCTTGGATGGTTATCGTCGGTTGATCATCTTTATTCGACATTAGCTTAGTTTTACTCAGATTCATTTTCAGTCCTTTTTTATGGATTCCGTATGAAGCTCATCGATCATCGTCTTCAGTTCTTTCCAGCTGTCGGCTATTAGTACTACGTCATCTGCATATCTTAGATGGTTTAAATACTTTCCGTTTATCGATAGTCTCTTCGTTTCCCAATTTAGTGATTTAAAGATGTCTTCAAGTGCGACAGTAAATAGTTTTGGAGATATGGTGTCTCCCTGTCTTACTCCTAGGTTGATTTTTATTGGCCGCGTTTTCATTCCGTTATCCATCGTGACTACCATTTCAGCGTGTTGATATATATTATGTATTAATATCCTATATCTAGAATTTATTCTGCTGTTGACCAGTGCTTCCTCAATAGCCCATAATTCTATGCTGTCAAAAGCTTTCTCGTAGTCTATAACTGCTAAACAGATTGGTAAATTGTATTCGTTAACTTTTTCTATTAGGACCTTTAGTGTGTGAAGATGGTCACATGTACTGAACCCTTTTCTAAATCCGGCTTGCTCTACTGGTTGATATACATCGAACTTTGTTGTCAATCTATTTGTAATTATTTTTGTGAATGTTTTATAAAGTTGTGATAGTAGTGATATTGGACGATAATTTTTCAGGTCTGTATTGTCCCCTTTTTTGTGTATTAATATTGTGTTAGCAGTATTCCATTCCTTTGGTATGTTTCCTTCAAATAGGCATTTATTAAAAAGTATTTTTAGGTACCTGATGACTTCTTCTCCGCCTTCTTTCAACATTTCTGCCAGAATTCCATCACTACCCGGTGCTTTATTTCTTTTCATTTCTTTAGTTGCATTTTCTATTTCTACTTCGCTTATTTCGGGCATTACTTCAGAATTTACGTTTGTTATTTGTCTTTTCAGATTTTGCTTTGAAGTGTCGGGGGGATCGTTTCTTGAGCGGTATAACTCAGTATAGAAGTTTTCAACTATGTTTGATATCTGAGCTTTGCTTGTTTCTAGTTGGCCTTGTTGATTTTTCATAGTTATAATATTTTTCTTTCCTAATTTCGGTTTGGTATATTTCAGACTTCGATTTTTCTCTATCACTCTTTCTACATGTTCTTGTTGATGTTTTTTAATATCGTTTTTTATCTGTTTTCGTATGGCTCGATTAAGTTCTTTGTATTCTGTGGTATTTCTTTTGTTTAGTGACAGGAGCTCTTTTCGTTGTTTCAGCATATTCTTCAATTCTGCACTTATTTTGGATTTTTTGTTGTTATGGCGGGTTCCTACTTCTGAGCTAGCATTCAATAGTTCTTTTGTTATAACTGAGTTAATTTTATTAACGCTGAGTTGTTCTAGATTCAGTGCTTGGGCGGTTTTTAATTTACTAGCATATTTTTCTTTATTGACTTTTAGCTTTTCTGTGTATAATATTTTATTTTAACCTTAATTTTCAGTTGTAACTTTGGACCAAGATAACATTGGTTTGTTAATGCGAAAGCCGAAGAAACAATTATGGCTTGTGAATTTTCAACATCCCAACTGTGGAGCTTGCCAGAGTTTAGAATCTTCCTGGAGGCAGCTTGCTAAGCAGGTAAATATTAAAATATTAAAAAATACGATCATAGACTGCATATATTAACACATAAGTTCTAAAAACTGTCATATTCTACGTTTGATTTGAAAGCGGTGTTTTGATTTTTTTATTGACTTACAGGACCTACCGAGTGATTGCCGGTATAAACAATCCCCCACTAACTGACCAACGGCGTCAGGCGGATGAGTTAGTAAGTGGTAGGGCACTTTTTTGTCTGGGGTTGAGCAATTGGCTCCAAAGGCGGATGAACCTATTAGTGGTCAACGGCATAAGGATGTAGAAGGCAACGGGAAACCACTACATTAAAGATTAGTCATGTGTAACACTGTGCGATATGACACTTTTGTGCTGATATTTTACGGTGCGTCATGTGTATTGACACCGCAACAATAAAGTGTCATGACACAGTAACAGTGTCGTAACGCCCCGAGTGTTTTCGGCACGAGCAATACAATTCACCGCAATAGTAAAAGATACAACAAAAAGAGACAACACAAAAGATGTGCCTTAAAGTTTTCGAATCTCACCCAAACGACAGTGTCTTTCAACTGCATTGACTATTTTGTATTTTACCTGGTTGCCACGTTTTATATATTTTTACAGTGTCGACAGATTTTAAATCTTAAAAAATAAATCTGAATATATTTCGGTTTATGCAGATCAAATAACCAATAAAGAGAAAAATGTATTGTAAAAAAAACAACTAAATAAAATTTCAAATCTAGGTCCCAAACAACAAAACAAAAAATTTGAAATTAAAATTATTATTGTTTAAATTATATTTAAATTTGTTATAGTTTAAATAATTATAGTTAATTTAAAAAAGAGTGGAGAGATATTACACGCTAAAAATGAATAAAGATTATAAATTACATAAAACATCTAAATCTAGGTTAACGCAACAAAACAAAAATACACCTACTTATTCGTTATTGTTTAAGTTATAACTTAAAAAAAATTACTTAAGATATTTTATCCGTCTTTAATCTCTCTCGCTTTTCGTTGACTATCTGTCCGGCTTTAGAAAATATCCTTTCACACGGGACATATGTAGCCATAATACAAAGCCTAGTCTTCATAATTTGGTATAATTTTGGGTAAATGTGCTTTCTTTGGTGCCATCACAATAGAGGATCCTGAGATATACCGAAGAAGCTATCTTTTCTCGGTAAAATGATCTCTTCTAAATATTTGTCTATCTCAACAATGGCTGACGCTGTTGGGTTGCTTGGTTGTTGTTGCTGTTGAACTTCCTTCTCAAAATCTTTCCATAAATTTTGAAGTAGATCTTCTTTATACGGTATATTTTGAATTGGTTGTTCAATATTTTCCTCTTCGTTTTATTTTTGTGTGGGTAATTTTGTGTTGGCTACCCTGCTGTACAAATCCTCTACTGCTTTGAGATATTGTCTTTCGTCTATGAAACCAAATTTTTTAAATCTGGTGTCCAAGATTGTTGCTTGAGCTATTAAACTATGTTTCCCTATATCTGAAAATCTTTTTATTAGTTCAAATTGCAGCTTTTTTACTATATTTTGAACCTGAGGCATCATTGTATTTATGTCAAATGAATTCATGTGTTTTGTAATTTGTTTGTAATACAATATTATTGACGAAGCACTAATTTTTTGCTCGGAACTTATGGGAGTTGTAACTAAATTAAAAATTTCAAGAACTTTAATGGACTCTTCAGCAATAGTCCAGTCTTCGTTTTGTAGAGGCGCAACAGATTCTGTAGCTGAACTATTTAAAAATGCCAATGTTAATATGATTGCATTTTTCATCTGTAAAATTCTCTTAATAATATCAAATGTGGAATTCCATCGCGTAACTACATCATTTTTTAACTTTAGTGATGGTATATCCGTTCGCTCTGCTGTCGCTTTCAATTGAGCTAATGCATGGCTAATGGCTACTTCGTCGGAAATAGCTTACAATATTTTTTATTTTTTCTACTACTTCTCTAATTTCCTTTAACCCTGATTGGGTAACGAGGTTTAGGGAATAAGCAAAGCAACCCCAAGATTGCCAAACACCAATGCGCACATCAGCTTTCATATTTGCTGCATTATCGGTAACAACGGCAGCAATTTTGTTGTCTAGTTTCCACTGAGTTATCAGACGCTGAATTTTGTTTTGAATGTTTTTAGCAATATGTCGCCCCACATTGGTAGTATGCAGCAGTATGTCGATCCTAACAGATCTGAGGATAAAAATGTTTTTTTATCCTCTTCTACTACGTAATGCGCGGTAACACTATAAAAACTCTCATTTGAACGTGACGTCTAACCGTCAGTCGTAAGACACACTGCCTAAGCTATTTCCATCCGTGTTTTAACAAGATCAACTGTTTGATTGTACAAAGCTGGAATCATTGAGTTTGAGATAGTTTTTCTGGTAGAAGCCTTATAATTTGGATTTAATAAAAATAATAGTCGCTTAAACTCCTTATCATCGACAAAACTAAATGGATGGTATTCCTTTGTAATCATAACCATTAATTGTTGGTCTATTTCTATTTGTTTGCTGATAGCCAGAGAAAAAACCAGTTATAGTTTGAGGTTTTTTTAATATACTAGACGAGGTAGAAGTTGATGAATGAGGTCGCACTATCGATGATGTAGATTCAACAAGTTCTAATGTTGTAGGTTGTTTTGAAGTGAAAGGTTGGGCATCATTTGACACCTCATGTTCGATTCTTTGCCTTTTGATTTGCTGCATTGGGTGTTTCTGATTAATGTGTCTGATTAAAGAAGAAGTTGATTTATTTTTGACAGATAATATTTTCCAACAAAACAAACATTTGACTTTATTTTCATTCTGTTCAGAAAAATGCATTCAAATTTCACTTTTTTTATTGCTGTCAAAAAAATGACAACATCGCAGTATATCTAACTAGTTCATCAATCAAACATCAACAAACACATTTTGAGTTTTCAACCTGTCTGATCTATTATCGCTTTGTGTCCTTTGTTCCCAAAAAGGTTTTATTTGTGAAAAGATCAAGTCTCGGTCAGTCTCGCACAGCTATTATGTAATTGCAAAACAGATGTTATAGCTTAGGGAAGGTTTCAAACTTTCAGGTAGTGTCAATGGCTTACTGTGTTATATGACACAATTGTGTTGATAAACTGAGTTGATACAATAAATTGCGCCAGTGTTGCTGTATCAACACCCAAAAATTTAGTGTGTTACCCATCGTTATTAAAGATCGTCAGATTTTCCTAGAACAATAACAATGCAAATTACGGTCAATCACATGGCCCCTAGTCCGCGGCGGACCTTTAATTGTCGAGGGGTGCTAAGAATCTCCACGAGGAGGACATCCGAATGTGGCAACTAACTATATAGAGAACAAATTCTTCCTAAATTTCGGGATATGGAATGTGAAAAGTTTGTTCGAACAAAAAAAGACATACAACACGATTCAGGAAATGAATAGACTGAACCTAGAAATATTAGGCATAAGCGAAATGCGCTGGCCTGGTTCAGTTAAAACATTGGTCATGGAAAAAACGATATACTACTTCGGATATGACAACCGAGATCATATATATGGAGTTGGAATAATTATCTCGAGGAGAATTCAAGCAGTCCTTGTAAATTTTGTTCCCTTGTCTGATAAATGCTATTACAAACTCAAAACTCTTGCCCAAAAATGTCGAGACCAACAAAAATATCTTTTCGTTGCGTTTATAGACTATGAGAAAGCTTTCGACAAAGTTAAACATAACATTCTCATGGAATGTCTAAAGAGAAAAGGACTCGTCAAAAATGACATTAACATAATTAGAAATCTCTATTGGAACCAATAGCGTGTGGTAATATTAGATGGAAATAGCGCGGATGCGCAACCAATAAGTAGAGGAGACAGGGCTGTGTATTTTCACCATTACTATTTAATATATATTCCGAAGAGTTATTTACGCAAACACTTGAAAACTGTACAGAAGGGATCAAAATAAATGATGAAAATATAAATAACATACGTTATGCTGACGATACAGTCATTATCGCTGAAAGTAAGACAGGCTTGCAGACGTTACTAAACACAATTTGTGATACTGGGGAACAGTTTGGTTTAACAATATACATAAAGGAAACAAAAACCATGGTTATCACAGTCATTACAAGGATCCAGATAAAAAATAAAGATATTGAGTAAGTGGACAAAATGAAATACTTAGGAGTCTGGATTACGGAAGATCTGAATCCGAAATCAGAAATTCGCTCAAGAATAGAGCAATCAAGAGCAGCCTCTTTGAAGATGAGGAAATTTCTGAGTAACCAAAAACTCAATTTGCAAATCCGATATCGGATGGTAAAATGTTATATCCACTCTATTCTTCTTTATGGTGTCGAAGCCTGGACTGTTAATGTTGACTTAATGAGAAAACTGGAAGCTTTGGAGATGTGGCTTTTTAGGAGAATTTTTAAAGATACCACGGACCGAACTTATTACGAACGAAATGGTGTTGCACATAATGGGAAGAGACAGAGAACTTTTGACCACCATTAAAAGGCGAAAGAAATCATTTTTTGGCGCATACTTAGAAATGATAAGTACGAGTTGTTGCAGCTGATTATGAAGGGTAAAATCGAAGGAAAAAGGGATCCTGGCAGGCGACAAATATCCTGACTAAAAAATATTCGCGACTGGAACGGGTTAAACGAAAAGACTCTCTTAAGAAAAGCAGATGATAGAGATGAATTTGCAATGGGTATCGCCAACCTTCATTAGTGGAGATAGCACTAGAAGAAGAAGAACAGTACCTACATTTAAGTTAATAACCTAAAAAAAATACATAATTTGTACAAATTTGCATTTATTTACTATGTACTAACCTACTTTTAATGCAGTGTTATAGTTATTGGACGTGTTGTATGCCTCTAATATTTTATTTGTAGATGACTGTACCAGCAATAAAAATAGCCCAGTTGGATTGTTCGATTAATCATGATATTTGTAATCAAATGGATATTAGAGGATATCCCACAATTAGAGCCTATCCATTGGATTCTTCAGGATTGGATAATTATTTGTAAGTATATAGGACTCTTTTTTATTCTTTACTATAGTTTTCTATATATGTTTATATTCCTATATGTATACTAGCTGACCCGGCGAACTTCGTACCGCCTTAGAATTAAGTATAATGTGTCAAAGTTCAATGACTAAAAATGAACAGACATCCAAAAAAAAACTTAAAATCATGCTTTAATGTTTTCCGATAATCAATATTTTTGATTTTTTTTATGTGCGTAAATATGCTACGATGATGCGAAGCATGGTTGTCTATACGCGAAACATGGAAAGTCTGATTTCGCCAACTTCCAACGATTGACCTTGCCATTTCTTTATCATCATTGCAAAAGCCAAACGTACAAGGAATTATAGTTGCTTAAAATAAGTGGTAAGTCTTTTGGAATCATCGGTATACGCAGGGTCAAGACATTACGTCCTTTATATTTTCCCTTGATGATCGTTGCGTCAATGATAATATTCATTAACTTTTTAACAGTCAGTTTTGTTCCATTGCACAGTCAAGGTTGATTAATGTTAGGCAGCATAAATACAACTGATCTCATTTTTAATTGTAAATAGTCAGGTGTGAGTCCAGGCAATTTCAATGAATTCAAAAACTCTGTGGTATAGTTGACATTGCGTTGTGTTTGCTGTTGTTGTGTTCGGTTTGCATGAACTCATTCCATTCTGAGCGTATCCACTTCATTTTCTATCACTCTACATCGCAATTCTGACATGCCAATACGACTGTTTCTGTCTCGTTGTTCATCAGTGCGGTTAGCACGTGATGTACCTCGTCGTATATTTGCTTGACTTCTACGACCCAAGTCAGATAGTCTTCTCCTTGGCATTGTAAATTTAAAAAGTTCCCGCTTACTAACTACTAAACTATTTCACTAATCGGATTACAAAAAATGGTAAATGGAATTACTTTCGTGAAGTTATATACCTAAAGGAAATTTCATTTCATTAAAAACATTTCTTTAGGCACTGTTAAATATTAATTTTCTTAGAAAGATATATCAAACTACATAAAAAGATTGTATTGATATGACACTAAAATATAAATAAAATAAAATTGTAAATAATAGGCCAAATAATTGAATGACCATTTTGTCATATATATATATATATATATATATATATATATATATATATATATATATATATATATATATATATATGATAATTTTAATTTTAGGGACTACAGAGGAAGAAGAGATGTGCTGTCGTTAAAATCATGGGCTTTTAGCCTATTGCCTTCTTCAGTGGAATCATTTACTGCTGTAACACTAGAAGCTCAAGTATTAACTAAGAAATATATATTACCTTGGATTATAGATTTCTACGCACCTTGGTGTGGTCATTGTGTTGAATTTGAACCGAATTTTAGAACTGTTGCAGAAGTAAGTAAATATTCGTCACGAATCTAAAGTAGTTTATCGGTAACTGGCTGAGGAAATACTTTAATACAACTTGACTTAATAGATAACTTTAATAGTATGACTATTTATATATTTATATATGATGTATATGATTAACTAGATGACAATATAGAAGTGTTATAAAAACATAGAAAGCTATTGATAACTTTTGATTTTACTGTCTAAAAGTATGCTTTGGACCTCCTTTAATATATCTAGATGACGTTTTAAAAGGGTAAACAAATGAAGTTTAACAACTAATTTAAAATCGATTAAAAAATTGCTGCCAAGACAAGTTATGAAGTGATTTTTAGTATTGTCTTTTTGGTATGCAATGTTGTTTACATTTTTTGTGGACTAGATCTTTTCTATTAATGTAAGATCATTTGTGTGTTGTAACGTGATTTAATAAGTCCGTATATCACAATTCACAATGAATATATCGCCAAATGAATTTCAAAAATATGTTTTTACGAAATTCGTCTTTTTAGTTTTGCATATAGCCGCTTAGAGCGCGCCACCAGTAAAACCTTCCAACACAACACAGTAGATACAGTGAATTTTTTAAATTAACTTTTGTGTTAAAATCTGGTCCAATGGCAACAGTTGTTTTAGAAAATTGATGAACGGTTACTTCTGATTAGTATGTAACCGTTCGTTTAGCAGGAGTTATCGCGAAACTCAAACAAAGCAACATTTAACGGCTAATCACCCTACATTAGGACAATGAAAGTGTTCACACTGCCCAAAAAACAATATACAAAACATCGAATTGTTAAACCATCCACCGTATAGCCCTGTCCTAAGTCTCAACGACTTCTTGACATTTTTCAGGTGTCAACTGAAGACGGGAGTAACTGTTTTGCCAATTGGTTTGAATGTATGCAAAAGTGTATCGATCTTGGTGAGACATATTGTAAAACGCAATAAAGTAATTTAAGTTTATATATTTTTTGTCATTATGGCTATAAAATATGAAAAACTAAACAGATAATCTTCGTAAATATGTATATTAAGATTTACAAAAAGAAATAATTGAAGAATATTTCGAATGGTGATGCTTAGAATAATATTGTAAATTCACTGGATAGTTCAGACCTTAGATTTTTATACATAAAAAGAATTTTAATATGCTCCAGTTAAAAAAATGCTGAAAGATTGACAATAAAAAATCGACTTTACACACCCCTATTTTTTCGAAAGATTCGAAAATTTTCAAAACTTTGTTACGTAGAGAATTCTTTTAAGAATAACTGATTTTGTACATACAAAAGAGCAAAGAAGATTTCAAAAGCGCTTTGAAAAACCAAATTAGTTAATTAGGTAAATCTGACTGTCATATGTCGAAATGAACTATCAAACTTTTCTGAATTATTAATTAATTATCAAGGTTATCTTTATTTAAAAGAAAGCTAAAATATGACAATTAGATGATCCATAAAACTTATATTTATTTATAATTTTTTTTATTTGTCATGAAAGCAAATCTTAGTATATTAACGAAGAATGTTTATTTTACTTAGAAAAATTTAACAAAAACTATTTTGCTTCACTGGCTGATTATTTCCTCTTTACTTATTAAGAAAGTTGGAATTGGATACAAAACAAACACACTGTCCTACATAAACTTCAAATGATCTTGATTGACCCATGGAGACAAAATGGAGAATTTTTGGGGAGGTCAAACATCGAATTGGGCTTCAGGTTATTTTAGATGATAACAAAATGTATTCTTCAAAACTCGGCTAGTTAATTGTCACTTAAAACCATGTGGACTTCTTAAAACCTCCGAAACGCTATTTTCAAACCACGTGGCATGGAATACAGCAACAGGCCGATGATTATCTCACTTTACAAAGATTGCCGAATAGTATTTTGAGACTAAATTCACGTCCTTCTAACTCATAGAATTAAACGAAAATTGTTGCCGGTTTTTTCGGAACTACCACTTAAAAAGATCTTGCCCATTCCGAACTCAATCAGCTTGTCACTACTACACTTTACATTACTAAATTCCCGATGACAAACCACAAATAACGAATAACAATAAAGAATTTTAATAAAATCTGGACAAAACAATGAAACTAACTGACTGCTTTCGCCGCTAGCCCATCGAAGAGTGATCCTTCTCCCAAAATCGGTATCTTGCCCGCATCAGCGGAAAGATTATTGTTTATTTCCAGCGTAAATATTAAATAGGCGGAATAAAGATCAAAAGAAAAACCAATTATAATTATATATGCTTTATATAATTATTGTTTTAATATATGCGGGGTAAAATCAAATGCTAAAACATGACGGACTTGTACGATTGCTTACACAAATAGGACAATTTGCCATCTTCATGCAACTAATTTAATGTAAAAACCACATATTTAGGTAATAAAATATGTTGCCAACTGTCATACAAAGGCAGTTCTTAAAATTTTATGATTGCGATGCCAAAGTCGAAAAATTATATAACTAACCTTGATGTTTGTTTGTAAAACTTATTTTAATGATTTTATTTTTAGCGACTTATTTATTTTAATCTCATTTTTAGCGATTGGAAGGTATAGTTAGGACCGGAAAGCTAGATTGTGAAAAAGAACGCATTTTTTGTGGAAAGACCTTAGGAATTACGGCCTATCCAACAGTAAGACTCTATATATCGCCATCAAAATACTATCCAATTGAAAGTTTAGGTGTTTCCGATATTTTGAAACAAGTGACGGAAATCTTAGAAAAACAGAAAGCGCACGAACACGACCACGACGAACTATAAAAGGTTCTTTGGTAAATCTTATACATTTTTTACATTTTTTGTTCAATGAACTTCTTGGTTTAAAAAATATTTTCAACTTAATGCCTACAACGTTTAAAAAACAAACTAAAACTTTCGTAAAAAAATCGGATATATTTATATAATTTTATGTTTCAAAACGAACCAATTTGTTATTTGGAAAGTAAAAAGGTGCAATGCAACTATTTTTATTGACTCTTCAATGATGAAGATGTTGATTGAAGATGTCATGTCTGTTTGAATGTTTATACTGATGTATATGCTTATTGAAGCCGTGTTTACTATTTGTATGTGTGTGTTTGTCTTCTTACTAGCAACCAGTAATTTAAAGAAAGTTTAATAATTTATTTTTACTCAATACCTGTTTGGATTCCTCCATGGTAAATAATATATTCGAGATATGGTGAAAAATTCAGAGGATTGTTATTATGTCTGAATCTTCTTGCTGATGTACATGCTTGTTGAAGTCGGGATTACTATTTATGTGATTTTGACTTTCTCTCTAGTGCTGCTCGAGGATGTAATTATACTGCCGATGGCTTTTGTTGATAAACTACCTCCCACAATTCCCCTCTTTATCGGGCTATAACAGTCTTCTTCTTCAGCTTTTTTCATTTCAGCGATTGCTGGTCTTTGTCATCTTCGCCACTCATTTCTGTACATCGTGTTCGGTTTTCCTTTACCTCTACTTTCCTCCATTTCTAACAGATCAATCTTTCGTCCCAAATAGTTCTCATTTCTACGTTTAACGTGACCAAACTATTGCAGTCTTTTTCTTTAACGTTTTTTGAGACTTTAGTCACCCTAATCACGTCTTTCCTGATTTTGCCCTTCGAGTCTTACCCACACCCATCGTAAAATTTTCATTTCAGCTGCCTAGATCTTCTTTTTCTGATTCTCCGTTACACTTACTTACTAACGCAGGTTACACCACACTCTTGTATATTTTTCCTCTTAGTTCTCCCGTGATTTTTCAATAACAAAATACCTCGCTCATTTGCTTGCAGTTAAACGAATCAGCATATATCCTGTAGACAATTTCTCGATATAGTGTCCCATTTTCCATTACGTAGTAGCCAAGATATTTAAATTCTCCTATTCGTCCTAGTTTTTTCCCAAGCATTTTCATGTCTCTAACTATTCCTGTTCCTCCCAACTTTACTACATATACTCCGTTTTCGACCTGCCAACCTTAAGTCTTCCCTCTTCAATAGCCCTTCTCCAACCCTTCATCTTATCGTTCAAGATTTTTTTGCTCTGCTCCACTAACATTATATCATCTGCAAAGAGCATTGACCAGGGGGTCCCTTCACTTACCTTCTCTATCAGTACATCCATAACAAAATTAAACAAGTAGGAACTCATTGAAGTGTCTTAATGCAAACTAGCCCTCACTGGAAAACTTTCAGTCAATCCGAAACAAGTCCTTATTTGGAGTACGCTTTTTCATTGTAAATTTAAAACTTTGATCCATCTTTTCTATGTCAAGTTTTTGTTTTGTCTGTCAAGCTTTCTTGCTGGCACTGTAAAAAAATGTTAGAAACGAGTTTTTTCTCAATTTTTGTGGTATTTTGTTATTAACTTCTCGAGTTCATGTTACAAACATTAAAATCGTGTGAAGTTGCGATTATGTTTTATAATAGATTATGATAAAAATGTGATTTGATAAGAGGTTTTTCAGATAATTAGATATGCTGAGTATATTCATATATTCACTTTACAAATTTATAATTCATATTGGCAGTAAAAGTTTCAACATAGTACCGAATAGTCATAATATTGTTAGAATACTATATTACATTTCCCTTTATGGGCTTCAGTGTCAATGTGTATAAATGAGGGTTCAAAATTTCAAATAACAAATTTGGTTAAGGCTGGTAATGCAAATCCATTAGTACATTTTCTTAGTATTAAGATAAGTTTATCATTTAATGTAAACATTGACCAAGTATAGCATTAACGGTTATGTTCCTTCCAGCTCCGTTACCAGTGCCATATTTTAGTATTAACCTCCTTAAACACAGCATCTAGTATAGCATATATATATATATATATATATATATATATATATATATATATATATATATATATATATATATATATATACATATATTGAATTTATTGTGATGGATTTTATTTGTTATACAAGAACATAACATCGCATCTGATGTAAATTGAATAAGGCAGCAAAAATTATTGGCTTTGTTGCTTTTATTTTTGAAATAAAACGAAAATCAACAGAAATCAAAAATGCGAGTTGTGAGTATGTACTACTTTCTTTATACAAGTTGCACACTATCTCTTTCTTCTATTCTGTACACTTTAACAGATGTGTAGTAGTTATGAATGTTGTAATTATGATTGGTTATTACTCGTATAGTATGAATTGTTTGTCCCTCCGGCTGTGTAAGATATTTCAAGCTGTGGTCTTGAAAGTGTCCTTTCATCACAACATCCCAAATGTGTAAATTATTTTTCTAAGGCTCAAATGCATATCTGAGTATTTGGAGTAAGCGTTTGTACTAGCTTGATCTAAATTTTCTTGATATGAATGAACATAGTACCAAAACATCATTTTGAAAAAATCACCGAGGAAAAATTCAATGTGGAATCACTGTGGATTTACTGTGAAATGGCTCTATCAGATACATTTACAAATTGATGCTGTCTCAGAACACTAAGCAAACAACCATACAACTAAACAAACTAACATGTAAGATATAAATGAGAGCTGGAGACAAATTTAAAACAATATTGAGGAGGTAGCAATCTGTTTCATCAATGTTGTTTACATTCTGATGAATCTGTTCACAAAAAGAACGGTAAATGACTCTTAACGGCACTTTCTAAAGGAAAGGAAAACAATAATCAACAACAACGTGCCTAACTTAAAAAATAGAAATCAATCAACATGGTTGAGAGCCATATATTCGCTGAATAACAAGAAATCACCGAGACAAACCGAAATAACTAATGAGCTCCTGAAATATGATTGAGAACGCACAACTCTAGAGATGACAAAACTTGTCCAAAAAATTTTAGAATACAAGATACCAGACGCATGGAGAAATAGCAAAATGATACCTATATTCAAAAAAGGAGACAAATATGGCGTCAACAGCTACAGGGGTATACATCTACTGAACACCTCAAGCTTACTGCAAAAGTCTTAACAAATAGTATCAATAAATCGTTAACACTATCCGACGAACAAGGAAATTCAGACCCGAAAGATCGTGCATAAACGCCGGCGCCGTGGCTGCATTGAGACAAGTCACAGAAAATGCTATTAAATGTTATAAACCGGCATATTTATGCTTGGTAGACTTAACGAACGGCTTTCAATCGAATCTATAATCGAACGGCTTATATCTATTATATATAAAAGCATCGAAAACATCTACTCCCAAAATCGGATGCAGCAAAGATAAATACCAGTACAAAGCTGATCTAGGCAAAATGATTATTTAAGCCCACTGTTATTTAAATAATGATTGACCAAATAATACAATCAGTTCGTCAATTTCATGGCTACAGAAGGGGAAACAGAGATCCAAATAATATGCTATGAAGACGACTCTGCACTAATCGCTGAGACCGAACTAGTTATGGAGATATTGAAGAAAAAGTTGGACAAGTCTTAAGAGCATATAAAGCAACGGATCTCTTAATGGCACAATCTGGAAGAACAAGTACCTAAATCAAAACATAAAAGCAAGGATCGGTAAATCAGCAATTAGATCTATGACATACACGGCGGAGATGAGATCAGACAGGTCCAAAACGAAAAGACTGCTAGAAATGACAGACATGAGAATACTCCGAAGAATATCAGCGAAAAGACTACTAAATATAAAGAGAAGCAAGAACATAAGATGGGTATGTAATGTAGAAGGCAAAATGGAAACAGCAATGGAACCAATACAGTAGCAAAATGGCAGAAGATATGAGTACTAATAGCACGAGACAAATCACCAAATGGTCGAAAAAGTGTTAAAAGATTAACGAAAAGATGGTATGATAATTTAAGCAATACAGGAGGCTAATATTGAAGAAGAAACATGCCATAGAAGCCTATATATCTATAAGAAGGATGAAGAAGAAGTGACAAAAATACAAATAGCATAAGATAACTGAACTGTAGCGAATACGAGTATTGTAAACGTTACAAACAGACTAGAAAGCCGCTGACAGTAGGCTGTCAAATCAGATGAATCGGCAATTAACATACCCTGTATATGGCGAAAAGGTTTGGTGATTATCTGAATACACCAATGCAGGGAATAATTCATTCGAATTTATTATTAGGGCAGTGCCCTAAGTGTTAAGGAGCTATTTTCTATATTCAAAATTTTTATAGCTTCTAGATAAATAAGTCTTTATACAAATTTAATCCCAGACAAAATTTAACAAAATGCTTAAATGGGTAGATAAAATTGCAATTTAGGATTACTGTGTATTGTATTAATTGCCACTAATAATGTATGGCGTTTTTATTTAACTGTACGGAAATCTTCTTCTAATCTCACACACTAAACTATTTGTTCTTCGATTGGGAACACTGCTACCAAATCAATAAGCACCATAATGTAACATGCAACTAACAATCTTTATTGTGACTGTTTAAAACAAGCAATTCACTACATTTATGTGTAAAATGCGATAGTGTATTTAAAAGTAATTTTAAGTGTGTTGTCTGAAAGGCGGTCGAAGAGTGAATGAATGGATCGATGTATCATTATTTATAACTATTAGGTAACTTTTTACATAGAGGGTCTGCTTTTTGATTATAACGCGACGTCTAGACATCATAACTGTCCATAGGCATTTTCAGCGAAATGACATTTATTGTCTATTGTTCATTGTTCAAAAAAATAAGTCTACTGTTTGATAGCACACGGTTATTAGGAAACTAAATTAGCAACAAAGTATGTTGATATTTCAACAGTAACCTTTCATTGTTTGCGTTCGGATAAATACTTATATATTTCCA